GACGGATGTGATTCCAGGATACCTCATCCTTATCCTCTGCAGTCCCTTAGCACAACTCCAAGCCATTGGTACCCTCTACTGTCGTTTGACAATCACACGATCAAATGGAAAAATTGAAGGGCTGGTTTGGAAATGCAAATGAGAGGTGTTTCTTTGAATATGAGACACGGAATTGCCCTGTCAAAGCAAAATTAGGCTCCTCTCTGAAGTTCATGCTTGAACGATATGTCTAAAATGACTGATTCCACACAGGAAATGTTTTTCATCTAGTTAAAGGTAAAAGAAGTACATTACTTAAGCAATTGTACGCCTAAGCTTAATAAATTTGTCAAAAAGCGGGTATTTATTGCTAAAAAAGTACCAAAAGACAGCGTTGTGTGGGTAGCTCGGGGTCATAGATGGAAGCAGACTACCACAGGTAAGACTTATGTTTGTCAGATATGGGATATTAGGTTAATTCTAATCTTCATTTCATTTCTTCTTAATTAACATTCTTTTTATTAAATATGCCATGAATGTAGACATTTGTACCTAAGTAATCAATTTGGGGCGTCACATATATGTAACACTCATATTGATATGTTATCAACGTAATTTAGCTTTGAAACTGGTGATTACACCTTGACAATAATTTTAAATGAATTGGCTAAATGATTAATTGTGTTACAGGTAGTGCTATGGTCACTTTTTTATCAATAAGCAAAGCGTAATACTTGATGATGACCAACTCATACACCTAAAGGTCAACGCACGAGTCTTCCGTGCCATCAGAGTGCTGGAGAATCGTGTGGATTCATCGCTAAAACAAGTCGCTTTTTAGGAGTACTGGAAAGTGTTTCCACATCGAGGCGACTTTCCAGACACCAAATAAATAATAGAGCGGAGGTGGGAGTGTTTCCTGCACAAAAAGGGGATTGTCGTCCCCATTTGACTTGAGCAGCACCCATGTCAAGAAAATTGGTTAAAAAGTCAAAATACGACTAAAGGTTATTTCAAAATTGGCCTCAGACTCGTTGATGATGATGAAGTAAGTGAACTCACTTCCAGGATGGGAGAGTCAGATCCATTCAGCGCAGTGCTGGAAAGAAATCGAGGAACCACATATATTGCCACCGTGTCCTTGTTCCCAGACACGAGAAATGGGAATGTCAAGTAACCATGGATGTGAAAATAGTTTTACATGAATGTTAAAGGGAAAATAAATTCCACTACTCAGCGTCAGCTAAAGACGAAAGTGTAGATCAGCAATCCTTCGGTTAGGGTCACGGCCAAGGTCACCCGATAAGTGAGGCACCAACGTTTACCTTGTTGCCATACCTACAGACCCACAAATAGAGGATTCCTAGTCAGGGACCCGACTCATTTACCCGGCAAATGCAACGAAAATTGGCAACAACTTGAATGAACACTGTGCTGGAACAAAGCAGTGGATATTTGAAGCTGTATACTTTTTCCTAGTCATGAAAAATGGCAGGTGTGTACAGGCATGGAAGAGGGAAATGCAACAGCGCGGCGGTGGTATAGGGGGTGGGGGGAGGCAAAGCGTACAACCTCTGACGAAGCCCTCGGAAGACTCTGTAATTCTCCTTCACCTCACTTCTCACCTTCCCAATAGACTGGCCACACTAAAACTGCTTCCTGAAGGAGAAGGTACTTTATTTAAAGGGTCAGATGATGTCTCCCCCTCCCGCTGAAGCGATTGCAATCGTAGAGGTGTTGGTGACGCTTCCTGTAGTGGTGGAAGGGGCGGTAGAGGGGGAAGAGGTAGGAGACCTGCAGTCGTGAGACTATTTAACAGGGCTGCGAAGACGTTTATGGGAGGAGGAGGTGGAAAGATGCCTTTCTCACTACCAACTCCACCACCACTACCACCACCAGTGTTATCGCTTGCACGGAGAGGGAAAAGGGGTAGAGGTAGGCTGGTGGTGGGAGTAAAGTGGGGAGGCGGAGGAGAAAGGGGTGGAGAGTCACTGTCCTCCCCATCACCCGGACATGACAATCCCAGTGCCCGTCGCACCTTCCGTTGGGCTCTTCGTCGACGGAAGTCGCCTCGTCGAAAGTCCTCCACATTGGCCGGATGGATGCCCCAGTAGTGACCTTTGCCGTTGGAAGAGCGACCTGAAAATGTTCGGATTCCCTCTAGCATCCTCCCTTTCCGTACTCATCCTTCTAGTATCCATCCATTCACCAATTTAGGAATTTATGTAGTCATTTATTGCCCTATCCACTACTCTCCTTCGTTAACTATTCATCCATCCATTCTTCCATCTGTCTAGCCAATCATGTGGCAATTCATCGTTCCCCACATTCACCACGAATTCATCTATCTGTCTATCCATCTCGGATCAGTCCATTCATCCACTCATCCGTTTAGTCCTCAATTCATCTCGAATTTTTTATTCTTTTAATTCATTCTCCCTTTCTTCCGTTTGTTCATTCATTCAAACAAGGATCCCAGCTGCCAGCTCTCTTCCAGCTACCGATCAAAACGAAAGTTATTCCTATCAAGAAAGGCTCACCAACTTTGATAAAACAGTCATTCAACGAAAGGTTATGTCGAATAGAATTTCGCCAACCAGGTCCTCGACTGCGGAAGTAGGTATAGTTGACCTGGATCCACTCGTAGATCTCTGACAGGACCATACGCCGTTCCTTAGAACTGAGAATTGCCTTCGCAATGAGACCTGGATGGAGAACAGTGATAAGTCAATCGTGACTTTTGTTCAAGAGTACTTCTTTCACTGTAAAAACCAAAAAAGAGAATGACAACGAAAACCGATAGGTTTTGTGAGAACGTTGCAAAGTAATTTTCAAAATATTGCCAATTTCTTCGCAGGGGTGGTACTTAAATAATATTATGCTTGATTTATGTACTTTCTTTTTGAAATCCCAATGGTTTGGTAGTTTTTTTGCCATATTTGTTCCCTTCTCATAATTTCCACTTTGCACACCAAAATGACGGATTCAAAACGTCTACGAGTTTGGTAGCCATCGATCGATGAGCAATAATTGCTGACGCAAGCAAGTGCACGCGTGGACGTACAGCGTGCAAAATCAGCTGATCAGCTGTTAGTAGGAAAAATCTATATTCCGGAATATTTTACCTTTTTTCCCCTTTTCCTTTTTTTAGCTCTAACTGTCAATTAGATAGAGGCGTGAATGTCCCATCAGGAGAGTCGCTCAATCGATGACGAGAAGAAGAAGGGCATCTGCAAATCACCCGCTTTCGTGGTGGAAGTCCCCAAATAGGATTTTTGGGATGCATGCGAACATCTGAGCTATCCAAGACAGTGCTTTATGATAAAATATATTCCATTTTCCCTTACTGTTCTTATTACAAACTGAACCCTTATTATGTTATTTTTCATTAAATCTGATAGAAACCGCTCTACTTCAGCAGAGAAGTACATTGATGCGAATGCAGATGTTACTACTACTTGTTCCTGCTTTCTTTCTGTTGATGCAAAACACGCATTCACAAAAGGTGGTGGAGGAACTGGATGAAAACTTACACCAAATTCTGGGGATCTTAATTATTTCGAGGAAAAAAACGGGTAGTCATGGTACATGCGCATTCATACAACCACCCTCTGAGCCTCTTCATGCCTTTTCGACATATTCTGCTCAATTTTATTCGAGTTGGTATTTGAAACTGATTTAACACCCTCTTCCTCGGGCTATCAAAAGGCCTCTCGCAGATGCTTAATTAGTGTATCCTGTGTGGCTTGCGAAAGATGTTTTATCAATGTCTGTAATTTGGGAATAAAAATAGCATTAAATTGCAACTACCCTTGGATTTAATTCTAAAATAAAGCAATGAAAAAGGAAGATACGCCGTTAAAGGAAAGGTGTGAACAGAGGCATGCAGTGGACTAAGGTGCATTAGCTAGATCAAAATGGATAGCCAAAGAAACCGGTTTGCGGACATAGGTAATTATTCAATGGCCGAGTGTATGATTAATAGGATCATTAATTCCATGATGAATGAAAGTTTGAAGTAATTTGAATGGATATCGCATATTTAAGAGTAATTCTAAATTAGATTTCTAAGATAGGACATAAAAGCGTTGAATTCTGACCATAAGTTTGGTTTCATGGATGTAGGAGCTTATTAAAGACCTTTGAAATCTACCACCAAGGAGGCTATTAAATGAGGGATGTTGGTCACTAGATCCACTTTTACCTGTGTAAAGCTAAAAATAAACACAAGTTCTTTAGATGTTAGGATTCTAGCGTTCTCTATTTGTTTATTGAGGATTCAAATGGTTGCATATATTGATTCACGTAGATTAAGTATGTCATCAAACAATTCCTTTTTAACTAGTTTTTAATTGTAATCTTCAAACGCAGCTGTTCGGAAGCCTTAAGAGGTCGTATTGCCCTGACTGCTGACAAAGTAAATGCTCTATTTATGTAAGCTCCTTTGTAAGATGTCAAGCTGATTGTAAAACAAAAAACGCGAAAAACTCTTGTTTGGAAACAACTAATTAAAATTTTCCCAAAATTACTCGCTTACTACAATTTATGTAAGCCTATTTTTGTGGGATAGCTCCTTCGGACCATTAAAAATAAATAAATCTTGTCGCATTAAATGAAGCTATTGAATGAATTCCCAAAATTAATATTTTAAAATTGGACAAAATTTTGCTAAAATAAATGAAGGCAACTAATGTATCGAAACCCTATCAACACCATTGGTGTGATGCCATAAGTAACTTTGACAATCAAGAGGTTAAACATTTTCATTCATTCAAAGCCACCAATATGTCACATCAATTCCCCATTTATCTAGACAGTAATATTCTAATCACCAAAGTTTCAATTGCCACCACACGGTTGAGAGGAAACGCATCAAGCAACTTTCACAGTGTCTTGCTTTGGGTCATGGCAATGAATTCTTTACCCATAAGTCAGTGTTTACAAACTCACCGATGTAGCTAAAATTCGGTTTTGGTTCATCCTCTTGAGATTTCTGTTGTAACCGGTAATCAGGGAGAAGGATGGAAGTCCTACCAGAAGGCGAACAGAATCCCCCAGTGACCCGCGAAATGAAGGGTACTTCCAAATCACTCACGCTCGCGGTGGCAGCCAAACGTCCAAACCGTGAAGATGCTAAGCTCGATGGTGTCGGAGATAGAGGTGGTGGTGGTGGCAGAAACCCATTATTAAGCGACTTCAGCTCCCTCATAAGGTAGGATGGAGAGCAGAGGTTAAGTGGCACCAGTTGGCCCCGTTCGTCCATGCAGTCCACCCGCCAGTCTATCAAGTGAACCTTTTCAACATTAAAAGGGCAATGGGTGGAGGGTAGCAGAGCTTTTGAAAGCCCCCCAGCCAATCGCAAGCCTCCGCGCTTTTATTGTTACACTGTTTGCGTGTTTTGTTTGCTCTCTAGGCGTGCGCGCGTGCAAACAGGAGGAGCGACGACGCGCCCACGCGCTATTGGCTGCGCTGCTACGCTTGCATGCATGAGTGCGCACGTTACACCAAACGCACAACAGTGATTGATCTACTGCCTCAATGGTACATGCTTTTTACTAGTAGATGGTTATGTAGGTGGAAAAAAACCACGCACACATTAGAATGAGGGCACTCGGGCTCAATTTTGTGATGAATGGGAGGTGAGCGAGGAGGTTCAAATGCACGAGTGTGTACGCAATGTGGAAATGAAAGAAAAAAAGTGGACAAAATGCAAGTTACATGCATTTGTACGCACACGAACTATAAGGGGAGGAATGGAGGAAGAAGAAGGCGAGGAGGAGAGGGAAATTAATTGATGATTGGGGCAAGACGTTGGTGCAACGTTGATGATGAATAAGCGACTTGTGGTTGTTGAATTTCGGAAAGGAATTTACATGCATGCAATTCTAACAGCGTTTTTTCTCTTTGTCGGAAATTAAATTATTTTATTTCCCTTTCCTTGGAATATTATTCTCAGGAAGAAGTTTTGTTTGTTTTTCAATTTATTACCCCAGATCTTACCGTTGGAAGATACTGACCAATTCCTTTAACAAAGACAAAGCAATTTTGGTAAACTAGGGATTGGAATTCAGTATCAATATTTTCCAAGATTGAATGCAAAGGATTCTTTTCCCTTTGCCTTCCAAAGCCCTACTCGCTTTGAATTTTTTCGTAGGCAAAATATTAACAGTCAATAAAAAAGCCCCATGACTTTCACCATTTTGCAGTTGTATTTTCCAATCCCTTATAATGAGTGCCTTTGGAGAGATTTGACGATTTAAAGCTTCTGAACTCATCGCAGTATTGGTTATATTCAACGGAACTAATTGAAGCTGCCCAAGACTTCCCTAAAGACAAAAAAACACTCGACTTAAAGTAAAGCTTGAGGCTGTTAGTATGGCCCAGAAACCGGATCACTCGGTGAAGTTACCATGGCAGAGCGCTTAAGTGGCCCCCTAGGCAGAACCGAGAGTTAGAGGCAATCGGTGTTTTGTATAGCCTCTCTCCTCTGTAAGCGCCAGCCATCACAACCGAATTGGCACCGTAAGGAAACACCAAAAATCCATTTGAGCCAGTCATTGAATTTCCATGCATCTGAGGCGATACTTAACCACAATATCTCTGATCCCTCTTGGCAATTCAACTGGATCTGCAGTTTCATCCTAAATGGGAATTGCATTGAATGACGAAGGAAGGTGCTGACCAGCAGTTGTGTCTATAGTTAGTTATCGGCACCATGACTTGAAAGCAGAGTCACGTAACAATGGGTGGGGTTTAATGTAGTCTCATGGGGATGGGGTTTCGCGTCTATTCCTCGTGTCACGATGTTTTTACTTTAGAGCCGCTCAGCCATATCTACCTATCTGGATTCTATCCAGCTAGTAGAGAATCCAAGGGGGTATTATGAGTTCACATATTTGATTTCTTCATACAGGCACGGTAAGCAGCTCCATCACAAGCATTTTTGGATGGTTCAGGGCTAGAAAGGCTTTCGCTGTTAATAGCCTTCCTGTCGGACACAGGACTGGGATAGTTGCCGAAGGTAGACATCAGTTTCAGCCCTTCTATTGCGAGCCGTCACCGGTTCTCCCATCAGTTGCAAATTCACTTCTTACGCCCCACTTAGATATATCCCCCTCAGTCAAAATCGGAATAGATGGCCTTAAAATCGAATTCGCTTTCCAATGCCACCAGTGTGGCACCTTGAGACTTACCCCAAGACGTAAAAAGCCACAATACAGCTGCAGTATATGTATTGGCATTCAGGCTTGGAACCACCGGAATGGTTAGCACATCAGTCCACCTAACGAAGGTGCTATGGCAGAGCACCAAGGTGGTCCCTATACCAAAACTGAGAGTTGAACAAACAGCCAATACATTACACAAATTGTTTGATTTTCCATAATTTTAGTATCCTTGCCTGATACTTTTCCTTTAAGGCCTTGTTTCGCAATAGCTTTTAGAGGCTTTCAACTTTTGTAGATAACTGTGAAAATTCAAGGGCATTAATTGGTTGTTATTTAGATTGATTATTTAAGATATTATTTCTTAATTACCTAATTTGACAAAAAAATGTAAGTATGAAAGATTAATTGTACAGCTGCATAATTCTTTTTGTAGCTCTTTCCTATCAAGCCCCAACCGGGCTTTAGCCACATAAGCTGAGTTTCCTCACCACCTATTTGATGTCGCGATGTGATTATGCGATTGTTTAATGCCAATAAAGGGTGCAGACTACTCTGAGAGGTGTAAAGGGAATACGGAAAACGGAGGCAAGGATAAGGGCAGTGTGGTACTTCGATTTCCTGCCACAAGTATGTAATTCAGATAGTCAGCCAATTAGCTAACAAAAATTTTAAATGAGGGAGCTTTAAAGGCTCCTAACCATCGTCTGCTGCAGTACGAGGATGAAGCTCAATTTCATGGCTTCCCTTGCCGGTTGTTGGTGTGACCCTCTTGTTGCCCTAATAATTCGGCCACATTATTCTTCGGTTTTTTTAAGCAACGGTGAAGAGTCATCCTTCACTTTAATCAAAATTAGAGGCTATTTTCTCCTCTAAATGAATCACTGTCAAAAATAAATTATTTATTTGAAATCTTATGTGCAGCATGCCGTCCGCCTGTCGCATACCACGCCTTCTACAAATGATCTGCAACAAATTATGCTAGAGGCTGATGCAGATTTGGGGGGTAAACTAGTCTTTCCGTTAAGCAGGCGTGATGCAGATGCCACTTCCATCTAGCCTGTGTAACTGATAGTTTGTGAGCCGTGAATTCAAAATAAGAAAAGCACAACAAGAAATACCGTCTCCACAGAGTGGCGCAAATCTGCGCTTTAAAATGCAGGCATTTTACAATTCACTACGAATTACTACCGGTGATTGTAACAATATGCATCGAAAAGTGCACAAAATTTAGCCGTATCAAAAACATGACCTTCTTACATTAAAATATCAATTTTATTTACATAAAATTATTATTCATACACTGGGCAGTTTATAAAATTTTATATTTCAGGAAAAAGCAACTTTTGAATGAACAATGCGTAACAAATGATTATTCCTGAGATCGAAAGTCACATGGTCCGAGGAATTTTGTGACTGAAATATCTACCCACAAATCCATCCATCCTGTATCCATCCATCCATCCTGTATCCATCCATCCTGTATCCATCCATCCATCCATTCATTCACCCATTCATGCATCCATTCTCCCCGTCCATTCATCCACTATTCATTGATCTATTTATTAAACAAAAGAAACTCTTCGTTTAAACTAAGTAATTCTTCTTGTTTTTCAGTATAAAACTGTAGCCCTCGTGCTGGTCTAGACTGTGTCATTAGACTGTGATATGTAGGTATGTTGAGTGTGTCACTGGCAAAGGAGTAGATTGCTGGAAAAGTGAATGGCGATCGTTTAGATGAGCGGAACGCTTCATATTCTTTGTGCATTTAAAAAGGTGCAGCAGAAACAAACTCTCAATGCATTTTGAGACTCATCCTAATCCTATCAACTGAGACTGGAGGGTCGAAAGGACAATTCATCTTTGACATAGCATCTTTTGAAGGTGTGGAAGTAGTCTTTTATGCTAAAAGTTCTTTTTTAAGATTACAAGTCATGCGATTTTGCAAGTAGTCATATAAGGGATACCTAAAGGATGCCGCTGTGCTCCATTCGCTAAAACCTGAGAAATCTCTGCTAGTGGATGTCTTCTCATGCTACTTGAGTGCCTTCTTCGGCGCTGTCTGCTGTGCACGCCTCTCCATTGACTAGTGAACAATTTTTACTTACCCATAGAACTGAAGTAAATGCGATGCAATGCAGAATTTACATTGTAAGAATAAGATATTCCCATCCCTAATTACATCATGGCTTCGAGTTTGGCAAACTATGCCTCACAGCAAAGCCACTTATGTACTTATGAGCATTCCATTGTTTGCTAGACTAACTTAAATGCTACAACGCTGGAAAAGGTAGTTTTGTCGCAGAATGTCCTGTGGCTTATTTACAAATATGGCCACTGGGCTGCTCTCCTAATGCTACACCTATGCTACTACTTCCCAGTCCTCTTTTGAGCTTATAATAGAAGCACCACCTCACTTGTCCACTTTGTTTAGCCATAGTGGGTGACTTGCGAGCCACTTTTTACTGTTGTACTGAAAATTTACACTAAACTGCGGCTTTAAATGAACCACCTCCATTGTTTATTCCAAAACGTTTTAATAATTATCCATCTGGTGTGTTTGTGGATTAACAGAAAACTGCCTCCATCTGTTACTCTACACAAAAATTATTCTTTTATGTAAAATACTTTTATTCTTTGAACAGAAAAGGGCATCTCTAGGTTGTGACGCAATCTTGAATTGAAGTGGCTGTTAGGTACTCGAGTGCCCGAGTAATCGAGTTACACCAAAACTTTGTAGAGAAATTTTATGATGCAGAGTAGAATAAATAATGCAATTAATAAGTCAGTAATATACATGAAAAAGTGGTTAAGACTGGCTTTTTGAATCTTAGCGAGTCCCTTAGTGCGTTCTCTGCGCAACCTCGGTAATATATATACGCTACTAAATATTGTGAGTAGCAAGGTCGACCACTTGTTCTGCTTACTAGCTAGGGTAGGTGGGCTACATCTCTCACGAAAAAGAACACTCACCTGAAGTTGGATTTTTGGAAATGAATGATTTAACGCATGCGATGAGAGCAGCTAAGGCCACACCACCCTTTATGTCAGGGTTACAGTCCAAGTCTCTGGGGAGATAGCCTTAGAAATGTGATCAAAATAGGATAACTCTGGAACATGGTCATATGTCTTAGTATTGCAATAACAAAATATAGGTATTTATCCATTGCAGCTATTCGCAATAAGTAAGGATAAGTTTATCGAATGCCATCATTTGATGCCTATATGTTCATTTAACTTCTAAGATCTTAAGAGTTTACGCAGATCTGCCCAACAAGTTGTTGGCGCCCAAATCCGTTGTCCTTTATTCATTTCATTAAAAAATTTTCCTTATAGGAAGAAGTACCGAATACACATTGCAGTGAGAGACATTAACTCCATGTCAAATCTTGGTTACAGCCATCTCAGGTGTAAGCTGTATGTAATTTTGCATTTTGGAAGTAACTAACGTGTAAAACTTTAGGTTTAGATAATGCTTTTTGAAAGAGGTATATAAAAGTTCAGATCAACGATAAAACAAGGGTGCTGAAAGGAGGGATTTTCTTCCATCCTCTGATGGTTCATGGCTTTAGTGGTTAAAAGTGTAGGTAGTATGAAATCAAATGAGAGTACGCCGTACTAAGAAAGTTTACTGTGATTCTTTATAAAGGAGCACTCATACGAGATAATTTTGCTTTCCGTAATGATGAGAAGACCATATTATTTTTAATAATATTTATTAGTTGTGAAATGACGATGCCAGGTAACGCTTTTCAATCTCCCACGATCCGACTTTCCAGGTAATGATTTAGAACCCTGCCTGTGATACCTCTATTACTAGTTGCTTCAACACCTGTAATTTATATGTCTTTGTAATTATGGAATATTTGCCGCAACTGTAAGTCTACATTAACACTTTAGGTTGTATATTCGTTCTGCATTGCGGCCTTCAGGCCACGATTTCAGCCATCAAAATCCTTTGCACATACAGTACTCCAATATTTTGCAACTTCAGGAAGCATTGAAGAGCTACATCTTCACTTGATTCTCTTCCATCAATCTAAGCATGCTCTAAATTGCCTTCATTAATACTCTTAATTGTTATAAGATGTAAGGCAAGGAACACAGTCAAGATAAGAGTGAATTTCTGCTAATGCGTGAACTTTACACCTTGCTGTTATTATGTAAATTTTATCATGTGGATCGCACTTCTCCAGCAATTCCATTGTGCCCGACCACAGCCAAAAAATGAAAACAGCGATTACGTTACAAAAAACAAACTGCTATAACAAAAGTAATAGGCTGTGTTGTTTGTTTAACTCTCGGTTAAGGAAACGGGTCACTTAGGTACTCCGCCATCGTACCTTGCTGGGAGGCCTGGCCTCCTGGCCATGTCCGTAGCAATAAGCCCTACCGCACTTTGACAAAGTATACTCCGCTCGAGTTTTGGAAGGTCTCGGGGCGCCGCAATAACGATATTGAAATAAAACAGAGAAGGGCTAAGAGAATCAAGCCGGGTAGTTAACTAAGTACACAAGCAATAAATAAGCATGCTTACTCACTGGTTTAAAAACAAGGTCCCACGTAAATTTTTTGCACAATTTACTGTTTTAGATTAAAAGTTGGCTTTTTTGATAAAATCAACAGCACTTATTTGAATTGTAGCCTAACGGTACGTGACCACTTAATCTTCGTAGATAGTATTTTTGTTTTACTGCGTGGTGCAATGTTTAAGTCTCCCAGTCTGTCCTAAAAAAGACAATTTTGTGGCATGGTAGGAAATGCATTGCGGATATAAAAAAGGAGGCGAGGGGCTACTGGCATGGTTTGAGATACGTCTGCCCAGCAGAGTTGCGATGGCGGGGCTTTGGGGGGCCTTGATAATTGCAGAATATCCGTGGTTCTTTTATATTTTGTTTAAATCTGCACTTGAGTACCCGTAGCTTATACTTAAGTTGGTCAGCATGCACTTCAACCCATGCCAGTAGCCTCACAACTCTTCTGCATGTTACCAGTGTAATTTCTAACATTCTACTGTTGCCTCTTGCGCCACAGAATATCGCACGGAAACAAAGCAGAATTCTTGGGTTGTCCGCATAAAAATATCTAAGGGCGTTAATTTAACTCGCTAAAAGGAGATCAACTTCTTTGTTAAACTAGGGTAGTAATTGCTGAACTAAAGCTAAATATAGTTCTTTGGATCAAGTTAGCCATATACAAATCCTAGTACAACCTACGAGTTTAAATTTTTTTACAAAATTCTGAAAGTACTTTATTAAAAGAAGCCAATAAATATGTAAAATCAAAATTTTTATTTTGTTGCACATAGTGTGCAGCGCGCAAATAAATTAAAGGGCGCCTAACTTTTTCTTTGTTGCCATTGGCTGTTTTACAAAGGTGAGGCGCTCGTGATACAGCAACCACGTGTGGGATGGTGACTAAGCAGAACAAGGAAAAGGTACAGTCGTTCTTTTACTTAACCACCCGGATACATTTCTATCAGTAAAAATTATGCTTTTTATGGCTTTGTCTACTTGTTTCTACATAGCAAGTCTGGATTGCCTGCCTGTGTAGGAACATCCAGATAGAGTTTATCTGCATATTGCTGTGTTTTAGGCTGGCAATATCAGGAAATCAGTCAAGTTTAAATCAGGAGAAGGTAAGCTGTTTTGTCTCAATGCTCATTTGAGAAATTTAGGGGGTACTTTTAAGGGGTCAGGTCCGAAACCGGTAAGTCAAACTGCCCGGTATTTTATCCCCTTGCCGAATGTCCATGTTTCATGAAATCGTCCTCACTTTATGCGACGTTTTCCAACTAGGCCCCAAAAGGGATTTTAAAGAAATCAAGTTCTTCAGGTTACAAACCAGGTAATTAATAGTCATTCATGTATCATTTATTGATTCAAGTGGATTGAAGTTTAACCCTCATCTATCTTCTCTTCCAGGAAAGTCAAGTGACACCCAGGATAAAAAGAAGAGGAAGCCCACAAAGAAATTAGTTTTGGGCAATGCCTTCACAAAAGTTGGCATTTTGGAGATCCAATTCCGCTTTTGTTTGCAGTTTACATTCCTCTCTATATTGCTCTTTTTAGGTGGATGACGTAGTACTGTCGACGGATCATCATAGAGTGGGTTTTATTTTTGTGTTTAATGGACTCTGTCATCTTTTTAGAGCTCTGTAAAGGGGAGGTCTGGGTTTGGAAAGTCCCGAGAAGTATGCTGTCATTTTAGATTGCGCTAGTTGAGAATTACCTTGTCTGTTTTTCTAGCTTTATTATTTCCCTTGTAGAAAAAGAAGGTGAAGCGTAAGTGAATCTGTCTATCTTTTATGTCCTTCGTACACCTTATTCTCCTTTACCAGGCTTCCCAAAAATGTTTTTTTTGGGTAGACAGTTGGAAGTTTTCTTACCTTATCAGAGATGCCTCAATTGGTTCACTTTTTAAGTGAAGACTATTTCCGCTTCCCAGTTTGTGCCAAGTAGCATTGCTTAAAATAGCCAGGTAGATCAGGCAAAACTTGCTTTTTTCGGTCTTTGAGCAGTAGCCGAATGGATCCTAAAGTTGACAACTGCCGGCATTATATTAAAGCAGTAAAGCATCTTATCTGTGTTAGTCATTTTTCCTCCCATACTCCGGCTATGTTGATGAGCCTCCATAATTCCTCACATTTAACGCTTGGCCCGCAATTAGGATGAGAATTGGGTCTATTTTAGACTTAATCTAACAATTAGAAAGAATTTAAGACTTTCCCAATGGTCAGTTATGGTACGACTTTCTAAAATAGCCTGCTTGTTATCCAATAGGCTTTTACACGAAGAAGGAACGGCGACAGGCCCGTCTGACTTCCAAGAAGCATGCAGAAGTGGTAACCACCTTGCTCGCTGACTGGGAGGTGCTGCGTCGTGATACCACGGAGACATCTAAGAAGCATGAGCTCGTGGACAAGATGCTGGCTGCTGCTAAAGTGAGTTGCCGAGTCGCTTGACTGCTGTTTTGCTCTAATTTGAATCCTTCTACCATCTAAAGTTATGACTGGTTGACACTAGGCCAAATAATTTGCTTGATGGTGTATTTTGCAGATGTGACAATTCGCAGATTGAGTTAGGCGGTTTCCTCGTATCTAATTAGTTAAATTTGTCCTTTGTTATTGTGCGCAATGCCAAACTGTGCTTTTGCCGCCTATTCGTGCGTATTTTGAAGTGAATGAGCTGTGGAAATTCCAACCACTTATGGTTATGGAATATCCACTCGAATAGCGACCGCTTCATAGGCGCTTGATTTCCCACCTTCCAGACGAAGTTAATGGATCTAAGTCAAGCGCATGACACCTCTCGCATCATCGAGTCAATGCTGCAGCTGGGTACGGAGGCGCAACGATGGGCCATCTTTGCGGAGCTGAGGGACCGTCTGCGCTACCTCGCCATGTCCCAATACGGTAAACACGTCGTACTCAAGCTCGTCAACTATGGCGCCAAGGAGCATCGTCTCGAACTCTTTAAGGTAATTTCAACTGGGATGGAGCAATACCAGTGGTGTTGTTCCCCTCCATTTGGTGGGCGGATGTTTAAGAGCTCCTTTTTGTGACTTCGGTTAACAACTCGGCCGTTTTTTAAGTATTTAAGCGTTTGGGATTCTGCTTCGCAGAGAGGCTTCTTTCGGTGGCATTTTTCAGTACTCCGTCGCCTCAATGGCAAATGCCTTTTGAATTGCCTGTTTTACTGATGTTTCCTGTGTGTGTTATCTTTCCAGCTCTTCCGAGGCTACGTTGTAAAGCTCCTGCGTCACAAGCACGCTGCTGAGGTTGTAGAGATGCTCTACAACGACTACGCGACAGCGGCACAGCGCGCACTCATTCTGCAGGAGGTCTACGGTCACCAATTTGCCCTCCAACTCACTGCCAACAACGTACAGCGTCTTCAGCAAGCCCTCGACCTCAATCCTGACAAACGAGCTACAATATTGGCCAACCTTAACGACCTCCTCGTCACCATGGTCTCCAAGTAAGCGGGAACACTGTTCGCTTCTTTCCCTTTCTATCCTTTTGATGATATGTAGAGGCCAATAGTATCAACAAATTTTTTTTTCCATAAAGGAGGTTGGATTTTTGGGTCACTTTGTCTTCTGCAGCACCCCATAATTGTAGACAGTGAACTTTAAACTAACCTGCTCTAGGGGTCTCATACGTCTAAGCATTGTTCAACATCTCCTATTGGAATACCTCACCGTCATGCTCCAGTCCTCTGACCTCCTCAAAATCCAGACAACCACTACTACTACTACTAAGCTCGTCCAGGACATAACGGATCCTACTACAGAGGAAACTCCGACTCCACGTCGCGAGGAGCGTCTCTCCGCTTTAGTCGAGGCAATCCTCGAATCCGGTATCGTCTCAATGCTGCATACGCGCGAGGGCGTGAAAGCCGCCTTGGCGGTGCTCTGGATCTGCCCACCAAAAGAACGCAAGACCCTACTCAAGTCAATGCGAACCTGTATTGTCTCAACTGCAGAGAATGAGCATGGACATATCTTCCTGATGGGTCTTTTGGATTCGGTAGATGATACAAAACTACTAGCGAAAACTATTGTAAAGGTAAGTGGTCAACTCTTCCGAATCTCGACAAGTTTATGTACAATGTGATGTTTAGAGGTTCTGCTATACTCTGAGTCTTTGCTAGTTGTCAAGTCCATCGACAATTCTTATAACCTATATTGCCTTCCAGGAGCTATTGGAGGATCTGGAGGATGTGGTTTGCCACCCGCACGCACGCAAGGTCCTTCTCTATGCCTTGGCCCCTCGAGATCCTCGTCACTTCGCACCTGCACTCATCTCCGCCTGTCTGGCTGGTGGCGACGACTCACCTTTCACCAAGAAGCCTCTCGCTGTGCGGGCCATTGAGCTGCGCGCACCACTAATTGGTTTGCTGCCAGCCCTCCTCCGTCTAGTTACCGAACCGATGGGGGAAGAAGAGGGGGTAGAAGTTGGGGACCCGCTGATTCGCCTCTTTGTAGGCAGTGTGGAACACCCTGCACCACTGGTGGATAGAGCTAGGGTGGTTCTGCTCGCGGAGATACTCATCCGAAGGTTGATCGGTTTATCTTGCTCTTAATCATAAAATTCATCTCGTTTGTGTTTTTTAATTACGGTTGTTGTGGCGCTTGATGCTTTAAGACAAGACTACTGAATTCGATAATATTTCAACTCCGACTTAGAAATGATTGGCAATCTTGGATGTTGATGGACCCGAGTTATTCAAAGAAATCTTGCGTTTAAGTCTGTTGAACATACTACTTCTGGTGCCTGCCTGTACCCACTTTATTTTACGGTTTAATTTCCTTTGCTAGAAAGAAAGACGTTACAAATTGTTCCGCCTTCCTTTTCAGCTCCGCCTACGAACTTCAATTCTCCACCGCAGCCAACTGCTTCAAACGCACCGGGAGCAGAGAGGCCGAACGTCTTGTCGCGATAGACACGAAGTCCTCCTCCCTCCTCACCCCAGAGGATCTGGCAGTGCTGCGGCAGGCGCGGACTCGCGCCCTGCGTCACTTCGTGACGACTGTGCTGGCCCAGCCCAACTTCCAGCCCATCGGCATACCGACACCCCCATCCCACTTCTCTGCTTCGGTCGAGGCCAAGCGTATGCTCCAGACACAGCGCAGGAAACGTGCTCTCGCGATTGCTGAGGCGGAAGGTGTCAAGAAACGAAAAGTGGTGAGTTGGGTGTTGCTGTCAGTGAGTTTTGAGATTAGCACTATTTCCAGTTGATCAGTGTCTGGCCGTAGCCCTCTCGTTTTCCCTTTAGCTTTTATCAATTGATATCATAAATGGTCCTCCGTTTCGCTGAGTGCCCTCCGTTTATTCCCCGTGCTAAACATTGAATGAATGCGAAAGCAACCGAATGTCCATGGCCTCGTCGTTTCCAACACTGCTTGATAATTTGCAAGTTGTATAGGCCAACTCTTTTTTCTGCTGTATAACGCTCTGTTACTATTTCACCTAAGGTGATTGTTTGGGGCGTCCAGTTCCTTTTTCAGATGATGGGGGCGTTCACGATCGTTCGGTCGATCGACATCGGTGTTGTGAGGCAGTGCTACCATGACCAAGAACGTGTTACGCTTTCTAGTGAAGATACCGCAAAGAAACGGGGATCGTAACGCCCCAGCTCCTAGTAGTGTGCATGCGGAGGCTTCCAACCCTCAAGTATTTCTGTTAGTGATGTGCATAAATTGAAATTTCAGAAAAAATTCAACGACATCCAGAATCACAGAATGTTTTAGAATATTCAGGACTCTGGTGTGAAGAGTAAATTAAGTAGAACCTTTACAGCATTGAAATAGGAGTGGAAATTGAAATGGAGACGATCTCAGCGATCTGGTCGTGACCTCTCTCCGCTTTTAATTTTTCTTTTTCAACTCGTATCCATGACTAAATCAGGATTTATGCTGGACGAATAGTTCTGGACTGCTGTTCAATTCCTCCTTTTGTAGACAGTGAAAGCCTTCACCAATGTAGATGAGGAAGAAGATGGGAATGAGAAGTTGGGAAATGCAGCTGAACCAATGGACACTTCGACTGCCGATGACGATACTCTCCCCGCAAACGCTCCCTTTCTGGAGCGTCTAGAGGGTCAACTGCTTGTCAGTCGACTGTTGCAGAATGAAAAGAAGAGCGATTCACGTAAGTGCAGGTGTCCACGCTTACTTGGTGATGGGTTCCTTAAAAGGATTCCCATCTTCTTTGCTTGCTGTCTTCTTTTACAGACGAATTTGCTCGTCTCGTGTGTGAACTGGTGCCGGAACAGACCCTGCAGGCTTGGCTAACATGCAACCGGTCGTGCTTTGCTCTGGTCCAGTAAGTCTTTGCCTCCCCTTTCCATCGACAATGAAATGTCTGCTTCGAATTGGGAGTGCCTATCTTAGTGGTTTGGTGTAGTTGATTGTTAGGGAAAATTTCCTGATGCGGAACACCAGGACAAGAGGATAAGGTACCCTTCATCCACTAAACAAAAAAATTTGCCCTAATCTGGCAGGCGTTCGTGTTCTACAAGTTGTTTCAGATCATTTTTATCTGCTGGTAAAGGAAGACTCTATTCCAGAGTCTGCCTTTTGAAAGTAATTCCGTTTTTAGGGGAGTGGGGAAGTCACTTGGGAAAAGACTGACTAATCACTCCAATGTGTAAACATGTAGCCTCGTTGCTGTCTTCGTTGTTGGACGCCTTTCCCTCTGATCATGTTATACACAAGCTCTTGTGCCAATTGCTCATTGCGTTAACTCTAGTACCATTTGTCCATTTCTATTGAAACGGTGTTATCTTCTTTTCTATCTGTTTCTTACAGCCTTTACGAATTGAATGACGAGGAGATATGCGAACGGTTGAGGAAGGTGCTGTACTCTCAAAAGGACCTTATAATGGCTTCTCCATTGCCTGGAGCAAAAATTCTGGCAAAGCAACTGTTCTCGAAACAATGAAAGCACTTGTGAAGACCCATCCAGCTGTCGTGTCTACATATTCAATCAACAGATTACTGATGCCAGATAGTACATTCTCTCTTCTCCATTGTGCGTGGGTACGTTGGGGGGCCCTCCTATGCGGATTGCGACAGGTGTCGAGGATGTTCACATTTGTCCAGTTTCTTGTTAGTGCTAAGCAGCGACGGATGGGGTGCAAGATTTCTCATCGAGAGATCTGCCGGTGAATGACGATTTCGAATGACCGAAAGCTGGTGTGATGGTTTGCTGTTTTGTTTATTTGCGTGAGCACTAGAGTCTATGAACCGTACTTTTGCCCTGTAGTATGAGCTTCGGGATTGCAAATGCTGGTGGGTGCAACAAGTGGGTCGGTCTCTAATTTATTTTACTAAAAACAACATGCAGTGGATTATATATGTATGGTAGAGGAAATAAACGCAGGTCAAGTAGGATCTATCTGTACTAAATAAAAACGTAAAGGAGGCTATGTTCACGCATCATGATATCTTAATATTTTGAAACTATTGTATCCCTGGGAAACTCCGTCAACCTATCTTCCCCGACTGCAAATAGCCGTAATTATCATATTTTAAAAAAGACTGTGGTCTATGTAAAAGCGTAGTACAGTCTACCTAAATTAAGAAAAGGGTATTTTGTTTGAATTCTCCACAGATATTATGTTGTGACCTTAGCGCCTCCTATATTGTGTGTAACGGGGCTTGGATTCTCCCATATGGTGGTTTTCCTAGGCAGGAAAACAGGGCCCTGCAATTATGATTATGGTGACTAATCCAGATACATATAGCTATTTTAAGGCAAATCGGCTGCCGTTTGACGCCATGGAGAGACCACGTCACTTAAAGTAATGCACATATTTCATACTCCTAAAGCTCGTCTACAGGTATTTGAATGAATTTAGGACAACGCAATGCCCTTTATTTCTCGAACAACAATGTCATAATCACCGACCTTACACCTGCTTTTATTGGCATTTTCCTAATCAGAAACGGAGGCGACCCATAAAGAAGGTTGATGGGACTTTTAACTACAATCCAGATGTTTACTGTGATAAATACGATGAAAATTCAGGCACCTGTCCTGATGGTGATGAGTGGGTTCTCTTTAGATGGGCAGAATGTTGTTTGCATCGATTTGCTGCCTAAAATGCTTCTCTTTCCCACCTAGTTGCCCCTACGCGCACCGGAACGCAGGAGACACGGAGAGGCGTTATCATCCTCGCTACTTCAAGACAGGAAATTGCATCTATGAAACCACGGAGAGCGGTGCATGTGTGAAAAATGGACTTCACTGTGCTTTTGCCCACGGACCCGATGACTTGCGACTGCCTGTATACGATATCCGCGAAGTACAGGATGCCTCTTCGTCCAAGGTTACTGTTAATCTTCCTGCCAGTTTAGAGAAGGAACGGGTGCTAAGCGAGGACCCCACGTGGAACGGTAAGTCTACTTTTTAATTACTTTCGATATTGATTAGGTTAGGCCTGTTCATAAATTTATTTAAGGTCTTTATGCAAAGGGCAATGAGCTGACTCATCTAATAAAAGTAGTAAAATTCGCGCGCCTTTTACTACGAGAATCAATTGTATTATTCAAATGGCAGGAGCATCATCGTCCTACCTTCCGTTTAAGTTCACATTTACCCACAAATTAAAGTTTGAAGGTGTGGTCAGTTTACTTTCATACCTAAGTAAGTACGATAACGCGTCGAATGTGATGCGAATATTGCACCTTATACACATTCTTGCTTTGATACATGCTTACGCTCTCGTAATTTCATAACTCAACTGATAACAGCGTTATTAAATCGGAAAAATTTGGCTTTTCGGTTTCCTGTTTATGCGAAAAATGGATATTTCTTCGAAATTATTTCTCTTTCGAATAAGAAAATTCGTCTTGTGTCGAAGAATGGGCTTCCATGGTAAAATCTTTTATTCTTTTCGCGATTTCTTATATCGATTTGTTCAATGAAGCGGTTACATTTATATGCCCATCCACTAAATTCCTGGACTAAGGTTTCTTTTAGTCACGAAATGTCGCAACACTGGTTGTGTAACTAAGGCACATTATCATAGGTTTGTGATTAAGTGGGCAAGATTTACTCTTATTTTGTCAGGATAATAACGGGGTATTTCGCTTCTTTTGCCCCAAAATTATGTTATTTAATTGCCATTTTAACCAGGTTGTGTAACAAATAATTACTTTCTACTTGTACTCAGACCTCCTTATTGGCCCTAGCTACTAACCCATAAATCGGTATCATGGTCAGCGTGAGCAGTTCAAGCTTGTATTTATGTCATAAATAAGCCAAATGAACTGGATTATGCGGTAATGGTAGCATTAGAATATCTCGTTTACATGGCCGTGCCAGCGCATGGCTGAAGTCCTCAATTCCGCTATTTAGGTGACGAAAGCGTGGCTTGTTTCTGTGTTTCTGTCCGTCTAATTAGCTACTTTGTCTCCTGTTTACAAGTGAGAGTATTCCTCTTCTTCAGAGTAGAAAGGTGGACTTGTGTCTGGGCGCCCGTTCCTTTGATTTACTTTGACTAGATACACCTATTTATAACACTGTTTGATGTAATCAAATTAGCTGATACAATGCAGGTTGAGGTGTTCTAGGCTCTCATTTTAATGAAGGCTTTATTTTTAAAACTAATTATTCAGCTCTTAGCTATGCAGAGTTGTGTGTGATGGCTACTTGATCTGGTGCCTATATCTGTTTTCAGCGCTCATATGATTGTTTATCTGGGAAAGGGTTTGGTGTGTTCCTGCTTCACTATTTATGCAATAGCCAAATTTGTCGTTATTTATCGCCAAATCTCAAGCCGTCTACTCAACGCAGTCTGCTAACATATTTCGCACGTGCGGTGGAACGACCAGACAGATGTGGTTGGAATATCATCAACCATTCACTGCTTTACTGATGATGCGATAGTGCATTTAGAAATCACCGCAGAGAAGGTTTTATGAAGGCGAAGAGGCACGATTTACCATGTATTCTTCACAGGATACACGTGACGACTTGACAAGCACCAAATTTTACCATGAAAAAGCACGTCTACCTTAGGAACTCTGTCGCATCTTTATATTTTGTGTATTTGTGTTTGAGGGCAAAATGTTTCGCCTGTTTGCCCTACCTCCCTCCAACTAAATAATGTGCTTTGAGAAAGGGTGTAGTTTTCAAAACGGGCTTTTAATGTTTGACTAATGTTGACATGGAGATAGTCATTTTTATGTGTAGGAAAGTAGGAAAAAAGTTACCACTTTTGCGGGGACTTTTTTGTTCCCTTTTTTTAACGTACTTTGAGCTCTTGGCCTGTTTATTCCCCTGCATCAGCGATGTTGCTATGCTTGCCATCAGCGTCACGTATATGTGATGCCTCGCTTCTTCTCTCATGTCATCAGTTTGTGATGACTGTGATTGCATGAAATCGTGCCACAAATGTCTGGGTTGAGTCTCTGTCTGAGATTGCTAACGCTTTTTTAGCATTTGAGCAGTAGTTGGATCGGTCAGTACGGTATCAACGTCCTTGATGCCCATAGATTTCTTTCCAGTCCTCTGCCCAGCGGACGTGTTGATAGTACTTCCCTTTCACTACTTTTCGCCTCATTTACAGGGCGTAAATGCGCTTCAATTCTCAGTTTTAGTTGTGAACTCCTGACAGTAGCGCCGTTGTCGCCTTGACCTTGTAACCCTAAAAGTACACCTGTAACTGGGCCTACTTATTTGTTTACGCATTTATTTATATTGACTGTAAACTACCATAGGCTCTTCTCTCCAAACTTATTCTAGTGCTGTTGAAACAATTTTAAGTTCTTTACAGAAGCCCATTTCTTAAGAGCCGTCTCCCAACTTTATCTCCTGTTCAGATGAATATCACTCGACATTTTCGCGTTTATTTTTCACAAAACAATGCCCATCGGCTCTTAGAGACCCTGTTCACTATTACTTTGCGTGATTGGTTAAGTAAATGAAACAAAGATGCAGAGCCATTACTTACATTCACTATGAAACTGGCATGATTCCCATTGGTACCCGTGACACCTTTGATCAGCCGCTCATGATCCCTTCTTGCAGCGAATGGAGTGTGAAATCGTCTGGATACCCACCTCCCTCCCTTTATATCGAAGAAGAAGCCCAAAATAGCCTCCTCGTTTGCTCTGTTAATCGGCTCAACTTGTAGTGCGTGTGGCTCTCACCCATTCCAAAATAAGTCAAGACCATTCGCCATGTCTTCCGTCACCTTTCATTTGATGTTTGCTGTTCTTCGCTCAATCTACGAACAGCAATTTTGCCTAACCTTGAGACGAATGGTAATGTATTGAAGCCCACTATTTTCAGTTTCCCATAACTCCCGTTCAACCTAGTTTATCATGTCGTCGTCTACTTCATTACTCCAGATGATGCAATATCTCACGTCTGTATGGATTCCCCTCCCATCGTCTTTTACAAACTCAACTTATTTACTGTCAACAATTGCGAGTCTTCTCGACGATTGCCTTCTAGGGTTGCGAAGCTGGCTGCATCGCTCCCAGACTGGTGTTCTGTTAAGGCAGCATTGAAACGGTCACGTGATTCCCCTATACTTGGCTTTTGATTGGCTGGGAGTCACTATCACCCTTATTCACATGCCACTGTGATAAGTGCTTTGTGTATGCCCCGACAATTTGTCTTTAACTGTGTTGTGTTCCATGTATCCGTCTATAAGGATAGATTAACGACGGTTCACGTGGGTGAGGTTTGCACGTTTGACCTACTTGACCTTGAAACCAAAGTTGGATCACATGCCGTCACTACTACTTACAGGTGTGATTCTCGGGTCTACAATGCTACTTGTAACAGATATCAGTAGCGTTGTAGCCCGATTTTTATCTGCTTCGGAGGACCAAATCATAGGGTAAAAGAATCCTTCTGGATCGGAAAAGCAAACTCCTAGTAAGGTTTTATTCGCAAATAGAGGTTTAATTTCATTTAAAATTGCACCGAAACGTGTTACCTACATCCAGATCAGGGTTCCCCTAAATTCGTTACTATCTTTCCTCGTGTATGATTTCACACCTATTTTGTGTGAATTGAGTGATTATTTTCTGTGTTTAACGTCAACTGACACTAGATTTCACATTATTTTCAATAAACCTGGTGAAATAAGACATGGGCTCCCGTCTTCGCTCTGATTGCACCAACTGGATGATCTTCATTTGATAGGGGTCTCTCCACAACATTGCTCTGAAGTTGTTTTTTGGGGAAGTTTTCGAAATTACTTCACATTTCTTCCAGTACCATCAAACTGTTCTTTCTCCTGTGTTCATTCAGGCCTAATTGAGGGAACTTGTTCAAGCGCCATCTTCATCCTGAAAAGAGACCCCATGGGTGATTACTAGAGGTCAAAAGGTCATATAAAACGACTCGCTTGCCGGATGGCTGCCGTTTTTGAACAAGTTAAGAACATTTCAACTGAAATATGCAATAGAATAGGGATTTCGCTCCTTTGTTTAGCCTTATGCGCACTACTTACTTTGTCACAAGATATGAAATATGCTCAGTTCTCAGATAAGTTTGTCCCCAGAGGTCGTTTACTTTGGGCTGTTGCCTTTTAAATGATAATTTGAGATTTGATTAATTAAAATCCCGCTTTGATTTAAATTTGTGGTGCGTACATGCATAAGCTAAAACACATTCACCTACCTTCACTCTGCATGACTACACACCACCCTGGTTTTGGCTCTGGTCCATCGCCCACGCGGGCACGCGTTCCACTTTCAAGGTTGGAATCATTTGGTGGGGCAAAACGCCCAGCTGAAAGCCTCGACCAACTCACTTTCTACTCACTTGTAAGATCCCCACTACCTAGGTTCCTTGTGCATTTTCACGAGTTCACGAAAATGACTACGGGAAAAATTTATTAGTCGCATCCCAGTGATGACGGTGATTGGCCTTCACTAATAACCACAAGATCAACAAAGGTCAAGGCGAAATATCGATCGAATGAAGCGTCTTGGTGGTTGAGTCATCATGGAGAATTGTAAATGTTCGAGTAACCAAATGTATGCTTAAAATGAGCATCTTTGGATTACTTAGTCTCCCTCGTCTGAGCCTAGCTGTCGCATCCTGTGGTCACCTCTACCCCTTATCCAGAAACGATGCTCCTTATCTCTTCTCTACTTCGATGCTCCACAACCGTCTATGTTATTCTTTTTCTTGCTATTTGGAGAAGCACATGGTCTTCCGATACCTCTTATCACTCTGCAAACGTTTCCAAATAATTTCAATCTTGCCTCGCTTCAACGGTAGCCATAAGTCGACCAAATTTCGACTATCTTTTAGCTTAAAGTTTTCACGGACTCAGCCATTAGCAGTAGGCACCTTTTTTTCAGGCAAAATATTCAGTCGGTGAAATCAGAATTGTTTCGGCTCTTCTAGGCTGCGTTCGAACACAGCTCCCCTCTCCCGCCCCCCACCATTGTGGCGTCCCGGTGATGAGACACAAAGCTCTGGAAAGAAATAGGGTGTTTATGCACGAAAGAGGAGGGCTGAATCACAGGCGTTGTCAAGGCTCCAAGTAATGAGATATTCCGCTGTTTGCTAGATATGCTTCATGTGATGGCGCGCTACAAGACGGAGTCGTGTCGTAAGCCACCGCGAATGTGCCGACAAGGATACTCGTGTCCCTACTACCACAACGGGAAGGACAAACGGCGAATGCCTGAGCGCTACTTCTACCGTAGCACACCGTGTCCTGCTGTACGACCCGCGGACGAGTGGCTGGACAGTGCACTTTGTGACGCCGGTGATGCGTGCACCTTCTGTCACACTCGTACGGAACAGCAGTTCCATCCCGAGGTGCGTTCTCTCTCCCCTTTCTCCCATGATTCTGCAACAGTTTCTGGAGCTGCGACCTCTCCGATCCCATCTTCTGGTTTTAAAGTAGTTCCTCGTGGAGAAATTCATTCATTTAACGCTTTTATTCTTTCCCCTTCTTCAAGCATTCTTCGTATTCGTAGCTTTACACAGCAACTATCACTAATTCGGGAGAGAAGTATTTTCATAACGCGAAACTTTCCTTCTGGCTAAGTACCGTTGTTAGTAATAGCCGCCGACGCTTCAATGATGTCAACTGACTCAAGCGCTGCTTTTATGGCAATAGTCCTGTCTCGAAGTACTTTTGCTTATCTTCTTCCCTTTCAATCCTTTGATCTCCATTCCCTCTGCAATTGGTTACCATGGCTTCAAGAGTGCTTCCTCGTTCCATGGCATTCCTTAGTCTTTACTCCGCCTATTCCTTCAACTCACTGGTTGTCATTATAGCTAAGGCAATTTGCCATTGAATTGTAGATACCTCTCCTTTCGAGAGTTGAGCTTTCATTCCTATGTACGTACTTTTATTTCATTATTTTCCATTTTTATGGTGTTCATTGCCAATAGCGATGGATTTTTCGACTTCGATGTCTTTTGGTTAAGAAACAGTCCTTATCGAACCATTCCCATCTTAAAATACGTTTGTCCCTTTCCTAATCCACGAACCTCAACCTACCCAGCTGGAGGTAGGTTCAGGAGAAGTCCTGGGACTCTAGCAATTCCATCTTAATAGGGTTCCTCTCTTCCCTTTTCTTCAGACTTGGGCTTTCATCATCGTAAGAGCTGTCATCGATGTAGGTGTTGGGATCCTTAAAATGCGCCCTGTCTCGAGGTATGTTCTTGGACTCATTTCGAGATACTTCCTCTCTTTCTGCTTCCTCAAACCGTTGACTTTCATGGATTTAGTGATGTCTTCCAGTCTAATGTCCGTACTTAGAGAAGCAGTTCCATTGTTAGATCCTTTTCTCCTCTTTCTCAGCAGTTCTTTGACCAATTAAATGGTGTCTTCTAATTTAGTAGTAGAGTTTGGAGGAGTGTTCCCATCTTTAGATTTCTTTTTCCTTCCTCTTTCCTCAACCCTCCTTCCATTGACTCAAGGATAATCCTCGGGTTCAGAATCATTCCCCAACGAAGCATTTTTATCTAAAAGTGGTTTTCTTCTTTCCTTTACACTTCTTTCATTTTTTTCCACTTATCAACTTCCTTCGTTTTTGATGATAGGTATTATCGACAGAGGGATGTCTTTGGTTCACAAGCAGGCCTTCAATTAGTACATCTTTTTCTCTACGCCCCTCTCTTCCTCCTTCTTTAATCCTTGGGTTACCAACAATTCGAGGTTTTTTATGGGTTTCGATGCAAAACTAAGGAGAATTTTGTCTGTTTTTCCCCTGATTTTTTATTCACTGTCTCCTGGTTCAACAACAACTCAGAAAACAATCATTCCATCTTAGCGTGCCCTTGTCCATCTGTTCTCAGTGGTTTTTGCTAATAGCCGCCATCAATTTAGGTTTATTCTTTCACTGTCCTTATTTCTTTTCGCACTCTCCACCCTCTATTCAAGATTAACTCCCCACTTGGCAGGTCTTAGGAATGCGCTGTCATTCTGAGCCACGACCATTTCATAACGCTATTTAATTTATTTAAACCACTGGATCATTTCCTCGTTATACTGTAAATTACAAGCCCTAAAAAGGCGTAACTATCTCGTTCAGCTATTTTGTCTGGAATGCAGAGCGAGCACAACGCAGCAGTGGACTATTGTCTTTCACCTCATGACCTTGAGCCAACCACTCAGGAAGAAGCTGTTTGTCCTTTTCTTTTTGTATCGAAGTCACAGCGGTAAACATGTCTGCCTCTGCCTACCTGCTTGGAGCATTCTAAGTGGAAATAGGAGTTGAGGTGCCAACCAATCAAAATTCACTTATATCTGCACCAATTGATTTTGCTGCAATTGTTACAGAAGAATCCTTTCCCCATTTGAAATATTTTGATTAAAAGCGGCGCTTTCTTAAGTGTTTGATTAGGCCTATTAAGCATGCTTTTTAAAAAGACCCTTTTACATACACTACTTATCTGCGTTGTTGATGGGGGCAGAGGAATACCTACCCTCGACAGCGCTAGAGACACTTCCCACAATATTGGAAACAAAGGTTTAAAATGTACGTCGAGATAAATAGACGTCCTTACCATGGAGCGTTGGGTCAAGCCTTTTATGGATGGAATTTCAAGCTATTCGATTTCTTTTATAGTGGAATCAATTGTACCCAAGTTTAAAATGTTTGTGGACTATCTTTGAAATTAAATGACGCCAACTCTCATAAACACTCACATCCGATCCAGTAGAAAGATGATAGGGTATACCCGCATGCTCGGGGCGACTTGGGAAGGTTAGACAGATTTACGAAGCCCAATCAGTAGCTGGTCGGTCGTAGCCTAACCTCTTGACATCTCTGAGTGAGTTTCCTACTTATTGAGCCTCATTTGAGTTTCCTGAACTTGTGTGGAGTCCTTCGGAATGATAGTTTACTGTTTCGAGGCCCAAAATGACTCATTTACTGCCACGATTTCAAAGAAAGATCAACTACCACAGCCCACATGTTTCACCTTTCTAGCTGACGTCGAGAAGTTCAACATGGTTGAATTGTTATTCCGGAGCTGTGTTTTTCCTACGTGATAGAAGCATATCCAATTGATACATCAGAACGCCTTACTTTAGTGGTGAGAAGAGAGGGATACGTGGGAGACTACCTTGCCCTATTGATTGGTATGGGCGGTTTGGGGCAATAACCCTAGATTTGGCTTAATTGTAGGTTTGGCGCTGGTTTTGTTTTGATATTCCAATAATGATATGCTGTTACACCTTTGAGAAAAACACAGTAAATACGGGCTTTGTTTGTAAACGAACTATTGGTCGTCTCGATAATATGGATTAAGGCTCAATCACTCATTGGTATACGTGGACTGCATTAATGGCCGATGTTGTATGCGGACCAATCAGAATTAGCGCCTGCGCGTTTGACGCAGCGAAGTCATTGGTGAACGAAGTTTCAAGCTCAAATTTGATGGTTTTACACTAATAATCGGTTATATTTGTTCTATTGGCTAAGACATTGGTAACAGTGGGGATTTATGTCCAAATAGGACTTAACCATCTGCTTAGTAAAATGGGAAAAACGACAACTGGCATATTTTATCAACCAAAAAGTTATTTCTCACTTTCTAAGTCCAAAGAACTTTTTTATAGCTAAAAGCGTCGTTTTTAAGCGTGTAGTAATCCCTGTTGATTCATATTTTACTGATTTCATGTGCAAATAAGTTACTCCCGACATTGACTGTTTTCATTATCACCGTGTCCTGAAATGCCAGCCACATCGAAGTGTTTGGCCTCTATCTTAAAAAGTGCAAATATCTTAGAAATTTTAGGCTGATCATGAGACTACAAGGTGGTGTCTTTTTCCTACAGCCATTTTCAATGCTTATATAGTACTTATAGTGACTTCAAACATTGATGCACCTATTGGAAAGGGAATAACTTTGTGATGGAGCATAGCTTATCAGAGTGGTTGAAGTTCTGTTATTAGCAGGTTTAAGCCTAGTTCTTCAGCTGGTTCCCTTCTAGTATCGGTAAAGCAGCCATCAAGCTGGTTTTGAAAGCGATGCAAACTTCCGTATGAGAATAATGCAAATGTGATGGAAGAGTGGATTTCGTGACTCCTTTCGACAATTTGGCTTGTTTGAGGCCATTTCTGATTGGAGTTTCAAATAATCCCTGACAACATCAAGGTAGTACGAGTAAAGTGTGTAATTGTTATTCTCGATGTCATAATGCTTTATTTATTGAGCTGGCCCAGTAATGCTCGTATCTTGTGGTACCTGCTTAAGGCGCATTGAACTTTAGTATGCCAAGAATCACTGCGATTATAATCGCTCCCATATCCTCGTTGTTTGCTGCTTTGAGGTGGTTTATTGTAAGTCATTTCTTGACATTCCGCCACATTAAAGTGTGTAATGTGTCTCACTTTGTAGCTCCTCCTGGAAACTGTGTCATTGTCGAAAGGTGTCATTTTAAGCGCTTTCAACTATTACCTCAGTCGAATTCCCGCATTTTGGCTGAATCACGCTCTTTGAAACAAATTAGGGAGAGATGTAGGTTTGTTGGAGGGGGGAGAGGACTACCTATACGGGGATTTCTTTTATTCATGGGCTCCCCCTGCATAAGTTAAGTCTATACACTTTGGAATCATCATATTGTGTTGTAAGAATTCCATCTAAGGCTACATGTGGTTGGAATTGGGGCAGGACTATTCTGCGGGCAGAGTGACTATCATTTTTGGCCACCACAGTATGCGATACCTCCTTTCGAGCATTTCATTGCTTTGGTTCAGAGCGATTCTCAAGATTTTAGCAGCTCAGTATAACCGTGTCAAACCACTGATGAGTTTACTTCACAGTGTCAAAAGTGCCCTTATAAAAGCGTTTGATCTCACTTGCTGTCAAATCTATTTAAAGAGAGATTAGTCGACTACAATACCGTGGTCCACAGCTGGAAATGGCTTCAGAGGTGATGCGCTGAAAAGTTGGGCCCGACATGGAGGCATAGAGATCGAATTTCAGTTGGCTAAAATGGATGTTTGGGGGAATATTCATTTACAGAACATACTGTTGTAGCACTCTGAGGTTTCCCTAAAGAAAAAGGAAGACAATACTCAGGCAGAATATGTAGTGTCGGTGTGCAGTAGGGCTTGGGACTATCAGCATGGTTCAGAGGCCACGCCACCTGGCGGAAGTACAGTGGCAGTGCCCCTAACTGTTAAACAAACAATTCAAGTTTTACACTCTCATTACATCAATGTTTCATTTCAAATTGGGTTCCGGAATTTTTTGAAAAATAGGGCTTTTTCAATTCTTTCAAAGTTCTTTTTTCTGCTTCAAGCACTTTTATTTCAAATAGACCGGTTTAATTTTAAAGCTTTCACTCGCAACCAATCCGGACTTGAGTCCTATCAGAAGCACGGCTAATCCATTCGAATCCCACATCAAGTAATTCACATTTGGATAATTGGTTTCATTTAGTTTAACTTTAAATGACCCGGTGAAATATTCCAAGGTGAGAAAGTCGGCATCACATTGACCACTAAATCGTTTCTTCAGTGGACTTGTCCATCCGAGTATGCAGCATTCCCGTTGGGAGCACCGCTTAGACAAAGCCGCCTGGACGGGTCAATGAGGTCCATTGTTAACCTCCTCCCCCTTCCCCCCTACGACCGCCGTCACGGGCACCCGTTTTGAAGCCCCTATAATCTACGGACTTTGCTTCATGTATCAAAGCGAATGTGTATGCGCATTTTCTTAACTTTTCCGCTATTTTTCTCCATGTTGAGTAGACTAGTGCTCGGATTAATCCCCCTAATTTGATTTGAGTTTACTTCGGTCTGAACAGCGCATCATGATTAAACTTATCAAATTTCAGAAAGATCCCACGCCCTCCACTTTCCTTCTGTACCTTGTATACATACCTATTGATGTTGAATGGAGTCTAAAGCTCAGACACTTTGCTTTAGTCCTACTTTCATTTCGCTCTGCTTCCAAAAAGCGTAGCAGCGTTGATTAAATCAAAACCAGCCTAGTAAACTTCTTGATTAACTGACTCTGATTTTACCTCTGCTACCCACATGAGGTCAACGTCTTTGCAACTACGCTGGAGTTCAGATTGCACCATCAATTACATCGCCTATCAAGGCAAGCACTACTTTCCCATTTTACCCAGGCAGTCATCGTCCCCTGTATTATCCCTGCGCGGCAAATAGGCATGATTCACTCCCCCAGCACGCGATCGGTTCTTTCAACGCTTGTCGCAAACTGTGTTGGCAGTGGGGTGGTGGGATGCAGTACACAAGTTGCTCTGGCCGCTTCCACATGCCACGATTAGGAGACAGCAGCGAGTTCTACTGCAAAGGCAGTTGCACAAAATGCGCGCTCTAAAGGTGGACGAATTAACTGCCGTTCACCTACCATCCCTTTCAGTGATGGACTTGGGCTAGCCGAGGTCATCAATTGTTGACTGGTGGAGGGGTATTGATAGGTGACAGTGTCAACTGGGGGAAATTGCGTATGTGAAATTGCATATAATCACAGGGGGCACCGGGTAGGGCTTGTTAGTCCATCCATTAACCATCATTCATGGACTAAAATCAACAGCTGAGGTGATTTGCCCCCTAATCGACGATAGTTTAATTTACGACACTTGTGAATTCGTTCAACACTGTGATCAGTTGTGGAATAGTGTCTTCAAATTGCAAAAATTTTGCACCGGTGGCTTTATGAGTACAAAAATAAGTAACTCTAATCAGTCAATAGGCTTTGTAGGTTTACATGGTGACCTTGAACTACGGATGACTAACCACAAGTCACGGTCACAGTTTTGGACTAGATTGGAAGTTGCTAGTTGGTTTTCCTCCGCTAGTTAACATAGGGGTGCAAGAAAGACTGCAAATGGTCGGTTTTTGAGGGCCCACATAATTGATTGTTGGATTGGCCAATCAAAATCGAAGAAGGCTCCCGACCTTGCTTTGAATTTTTGTAGACGTGTTGCAAAACGAAGAGCAGAAGGATATGAGTTACTAAAGCTTAAATAAACGCCCCTTGACCTTGATTTTAAGGTGGTAAATAGCAACGATGTTCAACGAAATAAGTGGGATTATTTGCATTAATCAAGGGCAATTTAATTATTCGAAGACGTTGATTGGCTTGCGAGTCTATTTGCAATCATCTAATTTTGTATTTTACTATTTGAAGTGAATAATTATAAGCAACGAAGGCTTCTATTTTGTCCATCGTCCGTAAATGGGAAAAGTTTGTACAGCATGCACTAGAGACAGTCACAAAGTTCACACCCAAGCCTTGATTGGTCGATGGGAATCAAGGCCAATCTAATTTGAGGTATTAATGAAGTCGGGGTTATTTTGGTGGGGAGAGATGCTTAAATTTGCTTGGCTCATTTTAGAAATTACGTTTGTATTCTGTTGAAGCTTTGAAGCTCAACCTGACTGCCATCATATGACATCTGGGAACTCAGACCGGAATTTTTAATCATAAGTTACAATGTCGGGTGAATGCGAGGTCCCTAATAGGGTATTTCGAAAATCCAATTCACTTAACATGATACAGCATGCCTAAATTACTGTTGCATGAATCCATCTCTATGACTAGCAAGGTATCTTGGAAACGAAGGTCACGTTGTTCAAATCTTGCACCTTGGTAATTCATTTCTGATACTTGTTAGTCAAAAAAGTAGAGTGAAACTAGCTATGGGCATCAAATGTCCGTGTTTGTAGCAGTATCCTTCCTGTGTCACTTCGGTTACCCATATTTTCATTGTTCACCCCTCACTCTATTCATTTATCCCATCTTTCATCAATTCATCCCTTCCGTCACCCTCCCACTTTTACATTTTTTGCTATATTTTATCATCCGTTTAAATAGCTGTCAACAATCATTCATTTATCTGCCCTCTCTTCTGAGTGTCCATCCATTTGCCCAACTAGTCAAGCATTCATTCACCCTGCTAAACTTTCACAAGGTGACATACCTTTCCTTCCGTCCACTTATTCAATTAACTATTCTTTCATTCACCCAGTTGGGCGTCCACCTCTGATTCAGTCTTCCGTTTTCTGTTCCTCCACCCACCTACTCATCTATCCAGCCAACTAACGGTTCTTGTATACTTCCCTTCACTTAACTACTCATTTATGCAATCCTCAATTCGTCTGTCCAAACGCCACCCCTGCCAAATATTTACTCATTTACCTGCTAATCTATTTATATTGTACATTGACCACTCCTATTCATTCGATCGGTCGTCTATTTGTGTATTCATCGATGAATGCGTGCATTTTTCTATTCCTGTCCCCACCCATCCCTTTACTCATCTGTCTGGTCTCCTTTCGTAATTCAGTCCATCTTCCCAATTATCCACCCGTTCAGTCATTTGTGCCTTCGTGATTCCACCTCCCCATCCATCTATTGACCCCTGATTTATTCATCTGACTACACATTTCCATAGTCATCTAATCTTGATTACAATCGCCCCATCCCACCGATAGATCTACAAGTCCACCAAGTGCAACGACGTCCTGAATTCAGGATACTGCCCCCGGGGTCCTTTCTGTGCCTTCGCGCACGCCGACTCTGAGATGACCCTGGGTCGCACCTTCCTCCAGTCGGCCCCAGCAGCGAGCTGCGGGCTGTCCGCTTCATCGCCACGGCAGCACGACGCCTCCCCTGTCTCCTCCTCCACCTCGGCCTCCTCCTCGGGCGTCTTTTCTCCGGGCATTCGGTCCTCCGTGCCCGCTCTCACATCGCTTCAGGCCTCGCACACTTACCCCACAGGTTGGCGGCTAACACTTTTTGACCTGATACGTATATGTGACAGCCTGATTTTCAATCTAGCTAAGCTCGGATATGGCACGCATATGTGACAGATTTAATGGTCAGTGAATCAGATATTGTCGCCTCCCATTTTGTTTAGTCTCACTTTCGTTCGTTTTCAAGAGACATTTTAGACGAGCCAACGATGTGGTGTTGTGGCGAAGGTCTACTTGTATTCTTGGTGGGATTTTATGGCACGAAATGCTTCTTTCAAATCGTAAATTCATCATTGAATATTACCGGGATTTGTGTTTTAATCTTCTTTTAATTTGATATTAAAACCTTAGAGGGAGGTTTTCGTATTAGATGAGACAGGGCGTTGCAGATTTTGCTTTAGAAGTTTGTAAAACATGCTGAATTTTATTTAGATAAACGAACCTTTGAAAAGCTATTTAAAAGAAAGCAGAGTAAACTGTTACCTTTATCATTAAAATTCCCTAATTTTCCCAAAAATTGTTTTAATCTCTGCGTGTTTACCTCTGCGATTTGATGGTATTCCTTTTGTACTAAAAGGTCAAATGCCAGCGATACCTTCTGCATAATTATTTTGGTTCTTGTTTAAAATAATTTCTTAAAATACACACTTAGTTATGCCACATCGCCACACTTTTCTAAATTCGAAAGAAGCTTGCATTCTAATTTACCGAGAAAACACGAAAGTGGCATGATCTTATCATGGAACTTTCGGGTAGGGTTTACTTCACTCTTTTTAACCCGTTTCAAGCAAAATAAGTGTATCTGAGGTTTGCGTGGCACGAAGTAACTGCTAAGTTCTTTCTCACTTAGCACGTTTGTTACCAGTGTCATGCGTGCAACACTCCACTTTTCCTCCAAAACCCACGTGTCACGAGTATGTAACATGTGTCATTTATTGGTTTATTACAACAGTGGTTGCGCAAGATCGTGTCTTGGCAACGGATTAATTAGCTTTGAACAATAAAACATTCCTGTTGCGAGATGAATGAGTACATTCCTGTGGTTTTGGTGAGCATTCAGGTTGTCCGAAACGTGGTGGCTATTGGTCGTGGCGGTGGTGGTCCCTTCGTCTTAGAGACTCGGGCAGCGCATGGTTTAAGTCTCTAGGTATACTTTAGTACTTTGAAATGCATGTTTGCCTATGTGGCTCTGCCTGTTTTTCTACCCATTTCGAGTGGACCATTTGGTATGATTAAGGTCAAACCTTGTAAAGCTAAGTTTATCTGGGTTAAAACCCTTATAATAGGGCCTTTTTGAGGGAATTTGAGGCTACTTATCTACCCTAAGGAGATGTAGAAAGTTCTTTTTCTTATCGGTGTAGCTCATCTCAGTTGCCTGCTTGGTCCTTCTAAGTGGTCCTATAGATGCGTCTGATCATTTGCGTGCCGGCATTATGAAGAACAGATAGGCTTTGGCCTACCGGCTTGATAGATCATCCTCAGCTAATTTTAATTTCTTATTTCATAAATCTCGCTTTGACCAAAATGACGGATGTGATTCCAGGATACCTCATCCTTATCCTCTGCAGTCCCTTAGCACAACTCCAAGCCATTGGTACCCTCTACTGTCGTTTGACAATCACACGATCAAATGGAAAAATTGAAGGGCTGGTTTGGAAATGCAAATGAGAGGTGTTTCTTTGAATATGAGACACGGAATTGCCCTGTCAAAGCAAAATTAGGCTCCTCTCTGAAGTTCATGCTTGAACGATATGTCTAAAATGACTGATTCCACACAGGAAATGTTTTTCATCTAGTTAAAGGTAAAAGAAGTACATTACTTAAGCAATTGTACGCCTAAGCTTAATAAATTTGTCAAAAAGCGGGTATTTATTGCTAAAAAAGTACCAAAAGACAGCGTTGTGTGGGTAGCTCGGGGTCATAGATGGAAGCAGACTACCACAGGTAAGACTTATGTTTGTCAGATATGGGATATTAGGTTAATTCTAATCTTCATTTCATTTCTTCTTAATTAACATTCTTTTTATTAAATATGCCATGAATGTAGACATTTGTACCTAAGTAATCAATTTGGGGCGTCACATATATGTAACACTCATATTGATATGTTATCAACGTAATTTAGCTTTGAAACTGGTGATTACACCTTGACAATAATTTTAAATGAATTGGCTAAATGATTAATTGTGTTACAGGTAGTGCTATGGTCACTTTTTTATCAATAAGCAAAGCGTAATACTTGATGATGACCAACTCATACACCTAAAGGTCAACGCACGAGTCTTCCGTGCCATCAGAGTGCTGGAGAATCGTGTGGATTCATCGCTAAAACAAGTCGCTTTTTAGGAGTACTGGAAAGTGTTTCCACATCGAGGCGACTTTCCAGACACCAAATAAATAATAGAGCGGAGGTGGGAGTGTTTCCTGCACAAAAAGGGGATTGTCGTCCCCATTTGACTTGAGCAGCACCCATGTCAAGAAAATTGGTTAAAAAGTCAAAATACGACTAAAGGTTATTTCAAAATTGGCCTCAGACTCGTTGATGATGATGAAGTAAGTGAACTCACTTCCAGGATGGGAGAGTCAGATCCATTCAGCGCAGTGCTGGAAAGAAATCGAGGAACCACATATATTGCCACCGTGTCCTTGTTCCCAGACACGAGAAATGGGAATGTCAAGTAACCATGGATGTGAAAATAGTTTTACATGAATGTTAAAGGGAAAATAAATTCCACTACTCAGCGTCAGCTAAAGACGAAAGTGTAGATCAGCAATCCTTCGGTTAGGGTCACGGCCAAGGTCACCCGATAAGTGAGGCACCAACGTTTACCTTGTTGCCATACCTACAGACCCACAAATAGAGGATTCCTAGTCAGGGACCCGACTCATTTACCCGGCAAATGCAACGAAAATTGGCAACAACTTGAATGAACACTGTGCTGGAACAAAGCAGTGGATATTTGAAGCTGTATACTTTTTCCTAGTCATGAAAAATGGCAGGTGTGTACAGGCATGGAAGAGGGAAATGCAACAGCGCGGCGGTGGTATAGGGGGTGGGGGGAGGCAAAGCGTACAACCTCTGACGAAGCCCTCGGAAGACTCTGTAATTCTCCTTCACCTCACTTCTCACCTTCCCAATAGACTGGCCACACTAAAACTGCTTCCTGAAGGAGAAGGTACTTTATTTAAAGGGTCAGATGATGTCTCCCCCTCCCGCTGAAGCGATTGCAATCGTAGAGGTGTTGGTGACGCTTCCTGTAGTGGTGGAAGGGGCGGTAGAGGGGGAAGAGGTAGGAGACCTGCAGTCGTGAGACTATTTAACAGGGCTGCGAAGACGTTTATGGGAGGAGGAGGTGGAAAGATGCCTTTCTCACTACCAACTCCACCACCACTACCACCACCAGTGTTATCGCTTGCACGGAGAGGGAAAAGGGGTAGAGGTAGGCTGGTGGTGGGAGTAAAGTGGGGAGGCGGAGGAGAAAGGGGTGGAGAGTCACTGTCCTCCCCATCACCCGGACATGACAATCCCAGTGCCCGTCGCACCTTCCGTTGGGCTCTTCGTCGACGGAAGTCGCCTCGTCGAAAGTCCTCCACATTGGCCGGATGGATGCCCCAGTAGTGACCTTTGCCGTTGGAAGAGCGACCTGAAAATGTTCGGATTCCCTCTAGCATCCTCCCTTTCCGTACTCATCCTTCTAGTATCCATCCATTCACCAATTTAGGAATTTATGTAGTCATTTATTGCCCTATCCACTACTCTCCTTCGTTAACTATTCATCCATCCATTCTTCCATCTGTCTAGCCAATCATGTGGCAATTCATCGTTCCCCACATTCACCACGAATTCATCTATCTGTCTATCCATCTCGGATCAGTCCATTCATCCACTCATCCGTTTAGTCCTCAATTCATCTCGAATTTTTTATTCTTTTAATTCATTCTCCCTTTCTTCCGTTTGTTCATTCATTCAAACAAGGATCCCAGCTGCCAGCTCTCTTCCAGCTACCGATCAAAACGAAAGTTATTCCTATCAAGAAAGGCTCACCAACTTTGATAAAACAGTCATTCAACGAAAGGTTATGTCGAATAGAATTTCGCCAACCAGGTCCTCGACTGCGGAAGTAGGTATAGTTGACCTGGATCCACTCGTAGATCTCTGACAGGACCATACGCCGTTCCTTAGAACTGAGAATTGCCTTCGCAATGAGACCTGGATGGAGAACAGTGATAAGTCAATCGTGACTTTTGTTCAAGAGTACTTCTTTCACTGTAAAAACCAAAAAAGAGAATGACAACGAAAACCGATAGGTTTTGTGAGAACGTTGCAAAGTAATTTTCAAAATATTGCCAATTTCTTCGCAGGGGTGGTACTTAAATAATATTATGCTTGATTTATGTACTTTCTTTTTGAAATCCCAATGGTTTGGTAGTTTTTTTGCCATATTTGTTCCCTTCTCATAATTTCCACTTTGCACACCAAAATGACGGATTCAAAACGTCTACGAGTTTGGTAGCCATCGATCGATGAGCAATAATTGCTGACGCAAGCAAGTGCACGCGTGGACGTACAGCGTGCAAAATCAGCTGATCAGCTGTTAGTAGGAAAAATCTATATTCCGGAATATTTTACCTTTTTTCCCCTTTTCCTTTTTTTAGCTCTAACTGTCAATTAGATAGAGGCGTGAATGTCCCATCAGGAGAGTCGCTCAATCGATGACGAGAAGAAGAAGGGCATCTGCAAATCACCCGCTTTCGTGGTGGAAGTCCCCAAATAGGATTTTTGGGATGCATGCGAACATCTGAGCTATCCAAGACAGTGCTTTATGATAAAATATATTCCATTTTCCCTTACTGTTCTTATTACAAACTGAACCCTTATTATGTTATTTTTCATTAAATCTGATAGAAACCGCTCTACTTCAGCAGAGAAGTACATTGATGCGAATGCAGATGTTACTACTACTTGTTCCTGCTTTCTTTCTGTTGATGCAAAACACGCATTCACAAAAGGTGGTGGAGGAACTGGATGAAAACTTACACCAAATTCTGGGGATCTTAATTATTTCGAGGAAAAAAACGGGTAGTCATGGTACATGCGCATTCATACAACCACCCTCTGAGCCTCTTCATGCCTTTTCGACATATTCTGCTCAATTTTATTCGAGTTGGTATTTGAAACTGATTTAACACCCTCTTCCTCGGGCTATCAAAAGGCCTCTCGCAGATGCTTAATTAGTGTATCCTGTGTGGCTTGCGAAAGATGTTTTATCAATGTCTGTAATTTGGGAATAAAAATAGCATTAAATTGCAACTACCCTTGGATTTAATTCTAAAATAAAGCAATGAAAAAGGAAGATACGCCGTTAAAGGAAAGGTGTGAACAGAGGCATGCAGTGGACTAAGGTGCATTAGCTAGATCAAAATGGATAGCCAAAGAAACCGGTTTGCGGACATAGGTAATTATTCAATGGCCGAGTGTATGATTAATAGGATCATTAATTCCATGATGAATGAAAGTTTGAAGTAATTTGAATGGATATCGCATATTTAAGAGTAATTCTAAATTAGATTTCTAAGATAGGACATAAAAGCGTTGAATTCTGACCATAAGTTTGGTTTCATGGATGTAGGAGCTTATTAAAGACCTTTGAAATCTACCACCAAGGAGGCTATTAAATGAGGGATGTTGGTCACTAGATCCACTTTTACCTGTGTAAAGCTAAAAATAAACACAAGTTCTTTAGATGTTAGGATTCTAGCGTTCTCTATTTGTTTATTGAGGATTCAAATGGTTGCATATATTGATTCACGTAGATTAAGTATGTCATCAAACAATTCCTTTTTAACTAGTTTTTAATTGTAATCTTCAAACGCAGCTGTTCGGAAGCCTTAAGAGGTCGTATTGCCCTGACTGCTGACAAAGTAAATGCTCTATTTATGTAAGCTCCTTTGTAAGATGTCAAGCTGATTGTAAAACAAAAAACGCGAAAAACTCTTGTTTGGAAACAACTAATTAAAATTTTCCCAAAATTACTCGCTTACTACAATTTATGTAAGCCTATTTTTGTGGGATAGCTCCTTCGGACCATTAAAAATAAATAAATCTTGTCGCATTAAATGAAGCTATTGAATGAATTCCCAAAATTAATATTTTAAAATTGGACAAAATTTTGCTAAAATAAATGAAGGCAACTAATGTATCGAAACCCTATCAACACCATTGGTGTGATGCCATAAGTAACTTTGACAATCAAGAGGTTAAACATTTTCATTCATTCAAAGCCACCAATATGTCACATCAATTCCCCATTTATCTAGACAGTAATATTCTAATCACCAAAGTTTCAATTGCCACCACACGGTTGAGAGGAAACGCATCAAGCAACTTTCACAGTGTCTTGCTTTGGGTCATGGCAATGAATTCTTTACCCATAAGTCAGTGTTTACAAACTCACCGATGTAGCTAAAATTCGGTTTTGGTTCATCCTCTTGAGATTTCTGTTGTAACCGGTAATCAGGGAGAAGGATGGAAGTCCTACCAGAAGGCGAACAGAATCCCCCAGTGACCCGCGAAATGAAGGGTACTTCCAAATCACTCACGCTCGCGGTGGCAGCCAAACGTCCAAACCGTGAAGATGCTAAGCTCGATGGTGTCGGAGATAGAGGTGGTGGTGGTGGCAGAAACCCATTATTAAGCGACTTCAGCTCCCTCATAAGGTAGGATGGAGAGCAGAGGTTAAGTGGCACCAGTTGGCCCCGTTCGTCCATGCAGTCCACCCGCCAGTCTATCAAGTGAACCTTTTCAACATTAAAAGGGCAATGGGTGGAGGGTAGCAGAGCTTTTGAAAGCCCCCCAGCCAATCGCAAGCCTCCGCGCTTTTATTGTTACACTGTTTGCGTGTTTTGTTTGCTCTCTAGGCGTGCGCGCGTGCAAACAGGAGGAGCGACGACGCGCCCACGCGCTATTGGCTGCGCTGCTACGCTTGCATGCATGAGTGCGCACGTTACACCAAACGCACAACAGTGATTGATCTACTGCCTCAATGGTACATGCTTTTTACTAGTAGATGGTTATGTAGGTGGAAAAAAACCACGCACACATTAGAATGAGGGCACTCGGGCTCAATTTTGTGATGAATGGGAGGTGAGCGAGGAGGTTCAAATGCACGAGTGTGTACGCAATGTGGAAATGAAAGAAAAAAAGTGGACAAAATGCAAGTTACATGCATTTGTACGCACACGAACTATAAGGGGAGGAATGGAGGAAGAAGAAGGCGAGGAGGAGAGGGAAATTAATTGATGATTGGGGCAAGACGTTGGTGCAACGTTGATGATGAATAAGCGACTTGTGGTTGTTGAATTTCGGAAAGGAATTTACATGCATGCAATTCTAACAGCGTTTTTTCTCTTTGTCGGAAATTAAATTATTTTATTTCCCTTTCCTTGGAATATTATTCTCAGGAAGAAGTTTTGTTTGTTTTTCAATTTATTACCCCAGATCTTACCGTTGGAAGATACTGACCAATTCCTTTAACAAAGACAAAGCAATTTTGGTAAACTAGGGATTGGAATTCAGTATCAATATTTTCCAAGATTGAATGCAAAGGATTCTTTTCCCTTTGCCTTCCAAAGCCCTACTCGCTTTGAATTTTTTCGTAGGCAAAATATTAACAGTCAATAAAAAAGCCCCATGACTTTCACCATTTTGCAGTTGTATTTTCCAATCCCTTATAATGAGTGCCTTTGGAGAGATTTGACGATTTAAAGCTTCTGAACTCATCGCAGTATTGGTTATATTCAACGGAACTAATTGAAGCTGCCCAAGACTTCCCTAAAGACAAAAAAACACTCGACTTAAAGTAAAGCTTGAGGCTGTTAGTATGGCCCAGAAACCGGATCACTCGGTGAAGTTACCATGGCAGAGCGCTTAAGTGGCCCCCTAGGCAGAACCGAGAGTTAGAGGCAATCGGTGTTTTGTATAGCCTCTCTCCTCTGTAAGCGCCAGCCATCACAACCGAATTGGCACCGTAAGGAAACACCAAAAATCCATTTGAGCCAGTCATTGAATTTCCATGCATCTGAGGCGATACTTAACCACAATATCTCTGATCCCTCTTGGCAATTCAACTGGATCTGCAGTTTCATCCTAAATGGGAATTGCATTGAATGACGAAGGAAGGTGCTGACCAGCAGTTGTGTCTATAGTTAGTTATCGGCACCATGACTTGAAAGCAGAGTCACGTAACAATGGGTGGGGTTTAATGTAGTCTCATGGGGATGGGGTTTCGCGTCTATTCCTCGTGTCACGATGTTTTTACTTTAGAGCCGCTCAGCCATATCTACCTATCTGGATTCTATCCAGCTAGTAGAGAATCCAAGGGGGTATTATGAGTTCACATATTTGATTTCTTCATACAGGCACGGTAAGCAGCTCCATCACAAGCATTTTTGGATGGTTCAGGGCTAGAAAGGCTTTCGCTGTTAATAGCCTTCCTGTCGGACACAGGACTGGGATAGTTGCCGAAGGTAGACATCAGTTTCAGCCCTTCTATTGCGAGCCGTCACCGGTTCTCCCATCAGTTGCAAATTCACTTCTTACGCCCCACTTAGATATATCCCCCTCAGTCAAAATCGGAATAGATGGCCTTAAAATCGAATTCGCTTTCCAATGCCACCAGTGTGGCACCTTGAGACTTACCCCAAGACGTAAAAAGCCACAATACAGCTGCAGTATATGTATTGGCATTCAGGCTTGGAACCACCGGAATGGTTAGCACATCAGTCCACCTAACGAAGGTGCTATGGCAGAGCACCAAGGTGGTCCCTATACCAAAACTGAGAGTTGAACAAACAGCCAATACATTACACAAATTGTTTGATTTTCCATAATTTTAGTATCCTTGCCTGATACTTTTCCTTTAAGGCCTTGTTTCGCAATAGCTTTTAGAGGCTTTCAACTTTTGTAGATAACTGTGAAAATTCAAGGGCATTAATTGGTTGTTATTTAGATTGATTATTTAAGATATTATTTCTTAATTACCTAATTTGACAAAAAAATGTAAGTATGAAAGATTAATTGTACAGCTGCATAATTCTTTTTGTAGCTCTTTCCTATCAAGCCCCAACCGGGCTTTAGCCACATAAGCTGAGTTTCCTCACCACCTATTTGATGTCGCGATGTGATTATGCGATTGTTTAATGCCAATAAAGGGTGCAGACTACTCTGAGAGGTGTAAAGGGAATACGGAAAACGGAGGCAAGGATAAGGGCAGTGTGGTACTTCGATTTCCTGCCACAAGTATGTAATTCAGATAGTCAGCCAATTAGCTAACAAAAATTTTAAATGAGGGAGCTTTAAAGGCTCCTAACCATCGTCTGCTGCAGTACGAGGATGAAGCTCAATTTCATGGCTTCCCTTGCCGGTTGTTGGTGTGACCCTCTTGTTGCCCTAATAATTCGGCCACATTATTCTTCGGTTTTTTTAAGCAACGGTGAAGAGTCATCCTTCACTTTAATCAAAATTAGAGGCTATTTTCTCCTCTAAATGAATCACTGTCAAAAATAAATTATTTATTTGAAATCTTATGTGCAGCATGCCGTCCGCCTGTCGCATACCACGCCTTCTACAAATGATCTGCAACAAATTATGCTAGAGGCTGATGCAGATTTGGGGGGTAAACTAGTCTTTCCGTTAAGCAGGCGTGATGCAGATGCCACTTCCATCTAGCCTGTGTAACTGATAGTTTGTGAGCCGTGAATTCAAAATAAGAAAAGCACAACAAGAAATACCGTCTCCACAGAGTGGCGCAAATCTGCGCTTTAAAATGCAGGCATTTTACAATTCACTACGAATTACTACCGGTGATTGTAACAATATGCATCGAAAAGTGCACAAAATTTAGCCGTATCAAAAACATGACCTTCTTACATTAAAATATCAATTTTATTTACATAAAATTATTATTCATACACTGGGCAGTTTATAAAATTTTATATTTCAGGAAAAAGCAACTTTTGAATGAACAATGCGTAACAAATGATTATTCCTGAGATCGAAAGTCACATGGTCCGAGGAATTTTGTGACTGAAATATCTACCCACAAATCCATCCATCCTGTATCCATCCATCCATCCTGTATCCATCCATCCTGTATCCATCCATCCATCCATTCATTCACCCATTCATGCATCCATTCTCCCCGTCCATTCATCCACTATTCATTGATCTATTTATTAAACAAAAGAAACTCTTCGTTTAAACTAAGTAATTCTTCTTGTTTTTCAGTATAAAACTGTAGCCCTCGTGCTGGTCTAGACTGTGTCATTAGACTGTGATATGTAGGTATGTTGAGTGTGTCACTGGCAAAGGAGTAGATTGCTGGAAAAGTGAATGGCGATCGTTTAGATGAGCGGAACGCTTCATATTCTTTGTGCATTTAAAAAGGTGCAGCAGAAACAAACTCTCAATGCATTTTGAGACTCATCCTAATCCTATCAACTGAGACTGGAGGGTCGAAAGGACAATTCATCTTTGACATAGCATCTTTTGAAGGTGTGGAAGTAGTCTTTTATGCTAAAAGTTCTTTTTTAAGATTACAAGTCATGCGATTTTGCAAGTAGTCATATAAGGGATACCTAAAGGATGCCGCTGTGCTCCATTCGCTAAAACCTGAGAAATCTCTGCTAGTGGATGTCTTCTCATGCTACTTGAGTGCCTTCTTCGGCGCTGTCTGCTGTGCACGCCTCTCCATTGACTAGTGAACAATTTTTACTTACCCATAGAACTGAAGTAAATGCGATGCAATGCAGAATTTACATTGTAAGAATAAGATATTCCCATCCCTAATTACATCATGGCTTCGAGTTTGGCAAACTATGCCTCACAGCAAAGCCACTTATGTACTTATGAGCATTCCATTGTTTGCTAGACTAACTTAAATGCTACAACGCTGGAAAAGGTAGTTTTGTCGCAGAATGTCCTGTGGCTTATTTACAAATATGGCCACTGGGCTGCTCTCCTAATGCTACACCTATGCTACTACTTCCCAGTCCTCTTTTGAGCTTATAATAGAAGCACCACCTCACTTGTCCACTTTGTTTAGCCATAGTGGGTGACTTGCGAGCCACTTTTTACTGTTGTACTGAAAATTTACACTAAACTGCGGCTTTAAATGAACCACCTCCATTGTTTATTCCAAAACGTTTTAATAATTATCCATCTGGTGTGTTTGTGGATTAACAGAAAACTGCCTCCATCTGTTACTCTACACAAAAATTATTCTTTTATGTAAAATACTTTTATTCTTTGAACAGAAAAGGGCATCTCTAGGTTGTGACGCAATCTTGAATTGAAGTGGCTGTTAGGTACTCGAGTGCCCGAGTAATCGAGTTACACCAAAACTTTGTAGAGAAATTTTATGATGCAGAGTAGAATAAATAATGCAATTAATAAGTCAGTAATATACATGAAAAAGTGGTTAAGACTGGCTTTTTGAATCTTAGCGAGTCCCTTAGTGCGTTCTCTGCGCAACCTCGGTAATATATATACGCTACTAAATATTGTGAGTAGCAAGGTCGACCACTTGTTCTGCTTACTAGCTAGGGTAGGTGGGCTACATCTCTCACGAAAAAGAACACTCACCTGAAGTTGGATTTTTGGAAATGAATGATTTAACGCATGCGATGAGAGCAGCTAAGGCCACACCACCCTTTATGTCAGGGTTACAGTCCAAGTCTCTGGGGAGATAGCCTTAGAAATGTGATCAAAATAGGATAACTCTGGAACATGGTCATATGTCTTAGTATTGCAATAACAAAATATAGGTATTTATCCATTGCAGCTATTCGCAATAAGTAAGGATAAGTTTATCGAATGCCATCATTTGATGCCTATATGTTCATTTAACTTCTAAGATCTTAAGAGTTTACGCAGATCTGCCCAACAAGTTGTTGGCGCCCAAATCCGTTGTCCTTTATTCATTTCATTAAAAAATTTTCCTTATAGGAAGAAGTACCGAATACACATTGCAGTGAGAGACATTAACTCCATGTCAAATCTTGGTTACAGCCATCTCAGGTGTAAGCTGTATGTAATTTTGCATTTTGGAAGTAACTAACGTGTAAAACTTTAGGTTTAGATAATGCTTTTTGAAAGAGGTATATAAAAGTTCAGATCAACGATAAAACAAGGGTGCTGAAAGGAGGGATTTTCTTCCATCCTCTGATGGTTCATGGCTTTAGTGGTTAAAAGTGTAGGTAGTATGAAATCAAATGAGAGTACGCCGTACTAAGAAAGTTTACTGTGATTCTTTATAAAGGAGCACTCATACGAGATAATTTTGCTTTCCGTAATGATGAGAAGACCATATTATTTTTAATAATATTTATTAGTTGTGAAATGACGATGCCAGGTAACGCTTTTCAATCTCCCACGATCCGACTTTCCAGGTAATGATTTAGAACCCTGCCTGTGATACCTCTATTACTAGTTGCTTCAACACCTGTAATTTATATGTCTTTGTAATTATGGAATATTTGCCGCAACTGTAAGTCTACATTAACACTTTAGGTTGTATATTCGTTCTGCATTGCGGCCTTCAGGCCACGATTTCAGCCATCAAAATCCTTTGCACATACAGTACTCCAATATTTTGCAACTTCAGGAAGCATTGAAGAGCTACATCTTCACTTGATTCTCTTCCATCAATCTAAGCATGCTCTAAATTGCCTTCATTAATACTCTTAATTGTTATAAGATGTAAGGCAAGGAACACAGTCAAGATAAGAGTGAATTTCTGCTAATGCGTGAACTTTACACCTTGCTGTTATTATGTAAATTTTATCATGTGGATCGCACTTCTCCAGCAATTCCATTGTGCCCGACCACAGCCAAAAAATGAAAACAGCGATTACGTTACAAAAAACAAACTGCTATAACAAAAGTAATAGGCTGTGTTGTTTGTTTAACTCTCGGTTAAGGAAACGGGTCACTTAGGTACTCCGCCATCGTACCTTGCTGGGAGGCCTGGCCTCCTGGCCATGTCCGTAGCAATAAGCCCTACCGCACTTTGACAAAGTATACTCCGCTCGAGTTTTGGAAGGTCTCGGGGCGCCGCAATAACGATATTGAAATAAAACAGAGAAGGGCTAAGAGAATCAAGCCGGGTAGTTAACTAAGTACACAAGCAATAAATAAGCATGCTTACTCACTGGTTTAAAAACAAGGTCCCACGTAAATTTTTTGCACAATTTACTGTTTTAGATTAAAAGTTGGCTTTTTTGATAAAATCAACAGCACTTATTTGAATTGTAGCCTAACGGTACGTGACCACTTAATCTTCGTAGATAGTATTTTTGTTTTACTGCGTGGTGCAATGTTTAAGTCTCCCAGTCTGTCCTAAAAAAGACAATTTTGTGGCATGGTAGGAAATGCATTGCGGATATAAAAAAGGAGGCGAGGGGCTACTGGCATGGTTTGAGATACGTCTGCCCAGCAGAGTTGCGATGGCGGGGCTTTGGGGGGCCTTGATAATTGCAGAATATCCGTGGTTCTTTTATATTTTGTTTAAATCTGCACTTGAGTACCCGTAGCTTATACTTAAGTTGGTCAGCATGCACTTCAACCCATGCCAGTAGCCTCACAACTCTTCTGCATGTTACCAGTGTAATTTCTAACATTCTACTGTTGCCTCTTGCGCCACAGAATATCGCACGGAAACAAAGCAGAATTCTTGGGTTGTCCGCATAAAAATATCTAAGGGCGTTAATTTAACTCGCTAAAAGGAGATCAACTTCTTTGTTAAACTAGGGTAGTAATTGCTGAACTAAAGCTAAATATAGTTCTTTGGATCAAGTTAGCCATATACAAATCCTAGTACAACCTACGAGTTTAAATTTTTTTACAAAATTCTGAAAGTACTTTATTAAAAGAAGCCAATAAATATGTAAAATCAAAATTTTTATTTTGTTGCACATAGTGTGCAGCGCGCAAATAAATTAAAGGGCGCCTAACTTTTTCTTTGTTGCCATTGGCTGTTTTACAAAGGTGAGGCGCTCGTGATACAGCAACCACGTGTGGGATGGTGACTAAGCAGAACAAGGAAAAGGTACAGTCGTTCTTTTACTTAACCACCCGGATACATTTCTATCAGTAAAAATTATGCTTTTTATGGCTTTGTCTACTTGTTTCTACATAGCAAGTCTGGATTGCCTGCCTGTGTAGGAACATCCAGATAGAGTTTATCTGCATATTGCTGTGTTTTAGGCTGGCAATATCAGGAAATCAGTCAAGTTTAAATCAGGAGAAGGTAAGCTGTTTTGTCTCAATGCTCATTTGAGAAATTTAGGGGGTACTTTTAAGGGGTCAGGTCCGAAACCGGTAAGTCAAACTGCCCGGTATTTTATCCCCTTGCCGAATGTCCATGTTTCATGAAATCGTCCTCACTTTATGCGACGTTTTCCAACTAGGCCCCAAAAGGGATTTTAAAGAAATCAAGTTCTTCAGGTTACAAACCAGGTAATTAATAGTCATTCATGTATCATTTATTGATTCAAGTGGATTGAAGTTTAACCCTCATCTATCTTCTCTTCCAGGAAAGTCAAGTGACACCCAGGATAAAAAGAAGAGGAAGCCCACAAAGAAATTAGTTTTGGGCAATGCCTTCACAAAAGTTGGCATTTTGGAGATCCAATTCCGCTTTTGTTTGCAGTTTACATTCCTCTCTATATTGCTCTTTTTAGGTGGATGACGTAGTACTGTCGACGGATCATCATAGAGTGGGTTTTATTTTTGTGTTTAATGGACTCTGTCATCTTTTTAGAGCTCTGTAAAGGGGAGGTCTGGGTTTGGAAAGTCCCGAGAAGTATGCTGTCATTTTAGATTGCGCTAGTTGAGAATTACCTTGTCTGTTTTTCTAGCTTTATTATTTCCCTTGTAGAAAAAGAAGGTGAAGCGTAAGTGAATCTGTCTATCTTTTATGTCCTTCGTACACCTTATTCTCCTTTACCAGGCTTCCCAAAAATGTTTTTTTTGGGTAGACAGTTGGAAGTTTTCTTACCTTATCAGAGATGCCTCAATTGGTTCACTTTTTAAGTGAAGACTATTTCCGCTTCCCAGTTTGTGCCAAGTAGCATTGCTTAAAATAGCCAGGTAGATCAGGCAAAACTTGCTTTTTTCGGTCTTTGAGCAGTAGCCGAATGGATCCTAAAGTTGACAACTGCCGGCATTATATTAAAGCAGTAAAGCATCTTATCTGTGTTAGTCATTTTTCCTCCCATACTCCGGCTATGTTGATGAGCCTCCATAATTCCTCACATTTAACGCTTGGCCCGCAATTAGGATGAGAATTGGGTCTATTTTAGACTTAATCTAACAATTAGAAAGAATTTAAGACTTTCCCAATGGTCAGTTATGGTACGACTTTCTAAAATAGCCTGCTTGTTATCCAATAGGCTTTTACACGAAGAAGGAACGGCGACAGGCCCGTCTGACTTCCAAGAAGCATGCAGAAGTGGTAACCACCTTGCTCGCTGACTGGGAGGTGCTGCGTCGTGATACCACGGAGACATCTAAGAAGCATGAGCTCGTGGACAAGATGCTGGCTGCTGCTAAAGTGAGTTGCCGAGTCGCTTGACTGCTGTTTTGCTCTAATTTGAATCCTTCTACCATCTAAAGTTATGACTGGTTGACACTAGGCCAAATAATTTGCTTGATGGTGTATTTTGCAGATGTGACAATTCGCAGATTGAGTTAGGCGGTTTCCTCGTATCTAATTAGTTAAATTTGTCCTTTGTTATTGTGCGCAATGCCAAACTGTGCTTTTGCCGCCTATTCGTGCGTATTTTGAAGTGAATGAGCTGTGGAAATTCCAACCACTTATGGTTATGGAATATCCACTCGAATAGCGACCGCTTCATAGGCGCTTGATTTCCCACCTTCCAGACGAAGTTAATGGATCTAAGTCAAGCGCATGACACCTCTCGCATCATCGAGTCAATGCTGCAGCTGGGTACGGAGGCGCAACGATGGGCCATCTTTGCGGAGCTGAGGGACCGTCTGCGCTACCTCGCCATGTCCCAATACGGTAAACACGTCGTACTCAAGCTCGTCAACTATGGCGCCAAGGAGCATCGTCTCGAACTCTTTAAGGTAATTTCAACTGGGATGGAGCAATACCAGTGGTGTTGTTCCCCTCCATTTGGTGGGCGGATGTTTAAGAGCTCCTTTTTGTGACTTCGGTTAACAACTCGGCCGTTTTTTAAGTATTTAAGCGTTTGGGATTCTGCTTCGCAGAGAGGCTTCTTTCGGTGGCATTTTTCAGTACTCCGTCGCCTCAATGGCAAATGCCTTTTGAATTGCCTGTTTTACTGATGTTTCCTGTGTGTGTTATCTTTCCAGCTCTTCCGAGGCTACGTTGTAAAGCTCCTGCGTCACAAGCACGCTGCTGAGGTTGTAGAGATGCTCTACAACGACTACGCGACAGCGGCACAGCGCGCACTCATTCTGCAGGAGGTCTACGGTCACCAATTTGCCCTCCAACTCACTGCCAACAACGTACAGCGTCTTCAGCAAGCCCTCGACCTCAATCCTGACAAACGAGCTACAATATTGGCCAACCTTAACGACCTCCTCGTCACCATGGTCTCCAAGTAAGCGGGAACACTGTTCGCTTCTTTCCCTTTCTATCCTTTTGATGATATGTAGAGGCCAATAGTATCAACAAATTTTTTTTTCCATAAAGGAGGTTGGATTTTTGGGTCACTTTGTCTTCTGCAGCACCCCATAATTGTAGACAGTGAACTTTAAACTAACCTGCTCTAGGGGTCTCATACGTCTAAGCATTGTTCAACATCTCCTATTGGAATACCTCACCGTCATGCTCCAGTCCTCTGACCTCCTCAAAATCCAGACAACCACTACTACTACTACTAAGCTCGTCCAGGACATAACGGATCCTACTACAGAGGAAACTCCGACTCCACGTCGCGAGGAGCGTCTCTCCGCTTTAGTCGAGGCAATCCTCGAATCCGGTATCGTCTCAATGCTGCATACGCGCGAGGGCGTGAAAGCCGCCTTGGCGGTGCTCTGGATCTGCCCACCAAAAGAACGCAAGACCCTACTCAAGTCAATGCGAACCTGTATTGTCTCAACTGCAGAGAATGAGCATGGACATATCTTCCTGATGGGTCTTTTGGATTCGGTAGATGATACAAAACTACTAGCGAAAACTATTGTAAAGGTAAGTGGTCAACTCTTCCGAATCTCGACAAGTTTATGTACAATGTGATGTTTAGAGGTTCTGCTATACTCTGAGTCTTTGCTAGTTGTCAAGTCCATCGACAATTCTTATAACCTATATTGCCTTCCAGGAGCTATTGGAGGATCTGGAGGATGTGGTTTGCCACCCGCACGCACGCAAGGTCCTTCTCTATGCCTTGGCCCCTCGAGATCCTCGTCACTTCGCACCTGCACTCATCTCCGCCTGTCTGGCTGGTGGCGACGACTCACCTTTCACCAAGAAGCCTCTCGCTGTGCGGGCCATTGAGCTGCGCGCACCACTAATTGGTTTGCTGCCAGCCCTCCTCCGTCTAGTTACCGAACCGATGGGGGAAGAAGAGGGGGTAGAAGTTGGGGACCCGCTGATTCGCCTCTTTGTAGGCAGTGTGGAACACCCTGCACCACTGGTGGATAGAGCTAGGGTGGTTCTGCTCGCGGAGATACTCATCCGAAGGTTGATCGGTTTATCTTGCTCTTAATCATAAAATTCATCTCGTTTGTGTTTTTTAATTACGGTTGTTGTGGCGCTTGATGCTTTAAGACAAGACTACTGAATTCGATAATATTTCAACTCCGACTTAGAAATGATTGGCAATCTTGGATGTTGATGGACCCGAGTTATTCAAAGAAATCTTGCGTTTAAGTCTGTTGAACATACTACTTCTGGTGCCTGCCTGTACCCACTTTATTTTACGGTTTAATTTCCTTTGCTAGAAAGAAAGACGTTACAAATTGTTCCGCCTTCCTTTTCAGCTCCGCCTACGAACTTCAATTCTCCACCGCAGCCAACTGCTTCAAACGCACCGGGAGCAGAGAGGCCGAACGTCTTGTCGCGATAGACACGAAGTCCTCCTCCCTCCTCACCCCAGAGGATCTGGCAGTGCTGCGGCAGGCGCGGACTCGCGCCCTGCGTCACTTCGTGACGACTGTGCTGGCCCAGCCCAACTTCCAGCCCATCGGCATACCGACACCCCCATCCCACTTCTCTGCTTCGGTCGAGGCCAAGCGTATGCTCCAGACACAGCGCAGGAAACGTGCTCTCGCGATTGCTGAGGCGGAAGGTGTCAAGAAACGAAAAGTGGTGAGTTGGGTGTTGCTGTCAGTGAGTTTTGAGATTAGCACTATTTCCAGTTGATCAGTGTCTGGCCGTAGCCCTCTCGTTTTCCCTTTAGCTTTTATCAATTGATATCATAAATGGTCCTCCGTTTCGCTGAGTGCCCTCCGTTTATTCCCCGTGCTAAACATTGAATGAATGCGAAAGCAACCGAATGTCCATGGCCTCGTCGTTTCCAACACTGCTTGATAATTTGCAAGTTGTATAGGCCAACTCTTTTTTCTGCTGTATAACGCTCTGTTACTATTTCACCTAAGGTGATTGTTTGGGGCGTCCAGTTCCTTTTTCAGATGATGGGGGCGTTCACGATCGTTCGGTCGATCGACATCGGTGTTGTGAGGCAGTGCTACCATGACCAAGAACGTGTTACGCTTTCTAGTGAAGATACCGCAAAGAAACGGGGATCGTAACGCCCCAGCTCCTAGTAGTGTGCATGCGGAGGCTTCCAACCCTCAAGTATTTCTGTTAGTGATGTGCATAAATTGAAATTTCAGAAAAAATTCAACGACATCCAGAATCACAGAATGTTTTAGAATATTCAGGACTCTGGTGTGAAGAGTAAATTAAGTAGAACCTTTACAGCATTGAAATAGGAGTGGAAATTGAAATGGAGACGATCTCAGCGATCTGGTCGTGACCTCTCTCCGCTTTTAATTTTTCTTTTTCAACTCGTATCCATGACTAAATCAGGATTTATGCTGGACGAATAGTTCTGGACTGCTGTTCAATTCCTCCTTTTGTAGACAGTGAAAGCCTTCACCAATGTAGATGAGGAAGAAGATGGGAATGAGAAGTTGGGAAATGCAGCTGAACCAATGGACACTTCGACTGCCGATGACGATACTCTCCCCGCAAACGCTCCCTTTCTGGAGCGTCTAGAGGGTCAACTGCTTGTCAGTCGACTGTTGCAGAATGAAAAGAAGAGCGATTCACGTAAGTGCAGGTGTCCACGCTTACTTGGTGATGGGTTCCTTAAAAGGATTCCCATCTTCTTTGCTTGCTGTCTTCTTTTACAGACGAATTTGCTCGTCTCGTGTGTGAACTGGTGCCGGAACAGACCCTGCAGGCTTGGCTAACATGCAACCGGTCGTGCTTTGCTCTGGTCCAGTAAGTCTTTGCCTCCCCTTTCCATCGACAATGAAATGTCTGCTTCGAATTGGGAGTGCCTATCTTAGTGGTTTGGTGTAGTTGATTGTTAGGGAAAATTTCCTGATGCGGAACACCAGGACAAGAGGATAAGGTACCCTTCATCCACTAAACAAAAAAATTTGCCCTAATCTGGCAGGCGTTCGTGTTCTACAAGTTGTTTCAGATCATTTTTATCTGCTGGTAAAGGAAGACTCTATTCCAGAGTCTGCCTTTTGAAAGTAATTCCGTTTTTAGGGGAGTGGGGAAGTCACTTGGGAAAAGACTGACTAATCACTCCAATGTGTAAACATGTAGCCTCGTTGCTGTCTTCGTTGTTGGACGCCTTTCCCTCTGATCATGTTATACACAAGCTCTTGTGCCAATTGCTCATTGCGTTAACTCTAGTACCATTTGTCCATTTCTATTGAAACGGTGTTATCTTCTTTTCTATCTGTTTCTTACAGCCTTTACGAATTGAATGACGAGGAGATATGCGAACGGTTGAGGAAGGTGCTGTACTCTCAAAAGGACCTTATAATGGCTTCTCCATTGCCTGGAGCAAAAATTCTGGCAAAGCAACTGTTCTCGAAACAATGAAAGCACTTGTGAAGACCCATCCAGCTGTCGTGTCTACATATTCAATCAACAGATTACTGATGCCAGATAGTACATTCTCTCTTCTCCATTGTGCGTGGGTACGTTGGGGGGCCCTCCTATGCGGATTGCGACAGGTGTCGAGGATGTTCACATTTGTCCAGTTTCTTGTTAGTGCTAAGCAGCGACGGATGGGGTGCAAGATTTCTCATCGAGAGATCTGCCGGTGAATGACGATTTCGAATGACCGAAAGCTGGTGTGATGGTTTGCTGTTTTGTTTATTTGCGTGAGCACTAGAGTCTATGAACCGTACTTTTGCCCTGTAGTATGAGCTTCGGGATTGCAAATGCTGGTGGGTGCAACAAGTGGGTCGGTCTCTAATTTATTTTACTAAAAACAACATGCAGTGGATTATATATGTATGGTAGAGGAAATAAACGCAGGTCAAGTAGGATCTATCTGTACTAAATAAAAACGTAAAGGAGGCTATGTTCACGCATCATGATATCTTAATATTTTGAAACTATTGTATCCCTGGGAAACTCCGTCAACCTATCTTCCCCGACTGCAAATAGCCGTAATTATCATATTTTAAAAAAGACTGTGGTCTATGTAAAAGCGTAGTACAGTCTACCTAAATTAAGAAAAGGGTATTTTGTTTGAATTCTCCACAGATATTATGTTGTGACCTTAGCGCCTCCTATATTGTGTGTAACGGGGCTTGGATTCTCCCATATGGTGGTTTTCCTAGGCAGGAAAACAGGGCCCTGCAATTATGATTATGGTGACTAATCCAGATACATATAGCTATTTTAAGGCAAATCGGCTGCCGTTTGACGCCATGGAGAGACCACGTCACTTAAAGTAATGCACATATTTCATACTCCTAAAGCTCGTCTACAGGTATTTGAATGAATTTAGGACAACGCAATGCCCTTTATTTCTCGAACAACAATGTCATAATCACCGACCTTACACCTGCTTTTATTGGCATTTTCCTAATCAGAAACGGAGGCGACCCATAAAGAAGGTTGATGGGACTTTTAACTACAATCCAGATGTTTACTGTGATAAATACGATGAAAATTCAGGCACCTGTCCTGATGGTGATGAGTGGGTTCTCTTTAGATGGGCAGAATGTTGTTTGCATCGATTTGCTGCCTAAAATGCTTCTCTTTCCCACCTAGTTGCCCCTACGCGCACCGGAACGCAGGAGACACGGAGAGGCGTTATCATCCTCGCTACTTCAAGACAGGAAATTGCATCTATGAAACCACGGAGAGCGGTGCATGTGTGAAAAATGGACTTCACTGTGCTTTTGCCCACGGACCCGATGACTTGCGACTGCCTGTATACGATATCCGCGAAGTACAGGATGCCTCTTCGTCCAAGGTTACTGTTAATCTTCCTGCCAGTTTAGAGAAGGAACGGGTGCTAAGCGAGGACCCCACGTGGAACGGTAAGTCTACTTTTTAATTACTTTCGATATTGATTAGGTTAGGCCTGTTCATAAATTTATTTAAGGTCTTTATGCAAAGGGCAATGAGCTGACTCATCTAATAAAAGTAGTAAAATTCGCGCGCCTTTTACTACGAGAATCAATTGTATTATTCAAATGGCAGGAGCATCATCGTCCTACCTTCCGTTTAAGTTCACATTTACCCACAAATTAAAGTTTGAAGGTGTGGTCAGTTTACTTTCATACCTAAGTAAGTACGATAACGCGTCGAATGTGATGCGAATATTGCACCTTATACACATTCTTGCTTTGATACATGCTTACGCTCTCGTAATTTCATAACTCAACTGATAACAGCGTTATTAAATCGGAAAAATTTGGCTTTTCGGTTTCCTGTTTATGCGAAAAATGGATATTTCTTCGAAATTATTTCTCTTTCGAATAAGAAAATTCGTCTTGTGTCGAAGAATGGGCTTCCATGGTAAAATCTTTTATTCTTTTCGCGATTTCTTATATCGATTTGTTCAATGAAGCGGTTACATTTATATGCCCATCCACTAAATTCCTGGACTAAGGTTTCTTTTAGTCACGAAATGTCGCAACACTGGTTGTGTAACTAAGGCACATTATCATAGGTTTGTGATTAAGTGGGCAAGATTTACTCTTATTTTGTCAGGATAATAACGGGGTATTTCGCTTCTTTTGCCCCAAAATTATGTTATTTAATTGCCATTTTAACCAGGTTGTGTAACAAATAATTACTTTCTACTTGTACTCAGACCTCCTTATTGGCCCTAGCTACTAACCCATAAATCGGTATCATGGTCAGCGTGAGCAGTTCAAGCTTGTATTTATGTCATAAATAAGCCAAATGAACTGGATTATGCGGTAATGGTAGCATTAGAATATCTCGTTTACATGGCCGTGCCAGCGCATGGCTGAAGTCCTCAATTCCGCTATTTAGGTGACGAAAGCGTGGCTTGTTTCTGTGTTTCTGTCCGTCTAATTAGCTACTTTGTCTCCTGTTTACAAGTGAGAGTATTCCTCTTCTTCAGAGTAGAAAGGTGGACTTGTGTCTGGGCGCCCGTTCCTTTGATTTACTTTGACTAGATACACCTATTTATAACACTGTTTGATGTAATCAAATTAGCTGATACAATGCAGGTTGAGGTGTTCTAGGCTCTCATTTTAATGAAGGCTTTATTTTTAAAACTAATTATTCAGCTCTTAGCTATGCAGAGTTGTGTGTGATGGCTACTTGATCTGGTGCCTATATCTGTTTTCAGCGCTCATATGATTGTTTATCTGGGAAAGGGTTTGGTGTGTTCCTGCTTCACTATTTATGCAATAGCCAAATTTGTCGTTATTTATCGCCAAATCTCAAGCCGTCTACTCAACGCAGTCTGCTAACATATTTCGCACGTGCGGTGGAACGACCAGACAGATGTGGTTGGAATATCATCAACCATTCACTGCTTTACTGATGATGCGATAGTGCATTTAGAAATCACCGCAGAGAAGGTTTTATGAAGGCGAAGAGGCACGATTTACCATGTATTCTTCACAGGATACACGTGACGACTTGACAAGCACCAAATTTTACCATGAAAAAGCACGTCTACCTTAGGAACTCTGTCGCATCTTTATATTTTGTGTATTTGTGTTTGAGGGCAAAATGTTTCGCCTGTTTGCCCTACCTCCCTCCAACTAAATAATGTGCTTTGAGAAAGGGTGTAGTTTTCAAAACGGGCTTTTAATGTTTGACTAATGTTGACATGGAGATAGTCATTTTTATGTGTAGGAAAGTAGGAAAAAAGTTACCACTTTTGCGGGGACTTTTTTGTTCCCTTTTTTTAACGTACTTTGAGCTCTTGGCCTGTTTATTCCCCTGCATCAGCGATGTTGCTATGCTTGCCATCAGCGTCACGTATATGTGATGCCTCGCTTCTTCTCTCATGTCATCAGTTTGTGATGACTGTGATTGCATGAAATCGTGCCACAAATGTCTGGGTTGAGTCTCTGTCTGAGATTGCTAACGCTTTTTTAGCATTTGAGCAGTAGTTGGATCGGTCAGTACGGTATCAACGTCCTTGATGCCCATAGATTTCTTTCCAGTCCTCTGCCCAGCGGACGTGTTGATAGTACTTCCCTTTCACTACTTTTCGCCTCATTTACAGGGCGTAAATGCGCTTCAATTCTCAGTTTTAGTTGTGAACTCCTGACAGTAGCGCCGTTGTCGCCTTGACCTTGTAACCCTAAAAGTACACCTGTAACTGGGCCTACTTATTTGTTTACGCATTTATTTATATTGACTGTAAACTACCATAGGCTCTTCTCTCCAAACTTATTCTAGTGCTGTTGAAACAATTTTAAGTTCTTTACAGAAGCCCATTTCTTAAGAGCCGTCTCCCAACTTTATCTCCTGTTCAGATGAATATCACTCGACATTTTCGCGTTTATTTTTCACAAAACAATGCCCATCGGCTCTTAGAGACCCTGTTCACTATTACTTTGCGTGATTGGTTAAGTAAATGAAACAAAGATGCAGAGCCATTACTTACATTCACTATGAAACTGGCATGATTCCCATTGGTACCCGTGACACCTTTGATCAGCCGCTCATGATCCCTTCTTGCAGCGAATGGAGTGTGAAATCGTCTGGATACCCACCTCCCTCCCTTTATATCGAAGAAGAAGCCCAAAATAGCCTCCTCGTTTGCTCTGTTAATCGGCTCAACTTGTAGTGCGTGTGGCTCTCACCCATTCCAAAATAAGTCAAGACCATTCGCCATGTCTTCCGTCACCTTTCATTTGATGTTTGCTGTTCTTCGCTCAATCTACGAACAGCAATTTTGCCTAACCTTGAGACGAATGGTAATGTATTGAAGCCCACTATTTTCAGTTTCCCATAACTCCCGTTCAACCTAGTTTATCATGTCGTCGTCTACTTCATTACTCCAGATGATGCAATATCTCACGTCTGTATGGATTCCCCTCCCATCGTCTTTTACAAACTCAACTTATTTACTGTCAACAATTGCGAGTCTTCTCGACGATTGCCTTCTAGGGTTGCGAAGCTGGCTGCATCGCTCCCAGACTGGTGTTCTGTTAAGGCAGCATTGAAACGGTCACGTGATTCCCCTATACTTGGCTTTTGATTGGCTGGGAGTCACTATCACCCTTATTCACATGCCACTGTGATAAGTGCTTTGTGTATGCCCCGACAATTTGTCTTTAACTGTGTTGTGTTCCATGTATCCGTCTATAAGGATAGATTAACGACGGTTCACGTGGGTGAGGTTTGCACGTTTGACCTACTTGACCTTGAAACCAAAGTTGGATCACATGCCGTCACTACTACTTACAGGTGTGATTCTCGGGTCTACAATGCTACTTGTAACAGATATCAGTAGCGTTGTAGCCCGATTTTTATCTGCTTCGGAGGACCAAATCATAGGGTAAAAGAATCCTTCTGGATCGGAAAAGCAAACTCCTAGTAAGGTTTTATTCGCAAATAGAGGTTTAATTTCATTTAAAATTGCACCGAAACGTGTTACCTACATCCAGATCAGGGTTCCCCTAAATTCGTTACTATCTTTCCTCGTGTATGATTTCACACCTATTTTGTGTGAATTGAGTGATTATTTTCTGTGTTTAACGTCAACTGACACTAGATTTCACATTATTTTCAATAAACCTGGTGAAATAAGACATGGGCTCCCGTCTTCGCTCTGATTGCACCAACTGGATGATCTTCATTTGATAGGGGTCTCTCCACAACATTGCTCTGAAGTTGTTTTTTGGGGAAGTTTTCGAAATTACTTCACATTTCTTCCAGTACCATCAAACTGTTCTTTCTCCTGTGTTCATTCAGGCCTAATTGAGGGAACTTGTTCAAGCGCCATCTTCATCCTGAAAAGAGACCCCATGGGTGATTACTAGAGGTCAAAAGGTCATATAAAACGACTCGCTTGCCGGATGGCTGCCGTTTTTGAACAAGTTAAGAACATTTCAACTGAAATATGCAATAGAATAGGGATTTCGCTCCTTTGTTTAGCCTTATGCGCACTACTTACTTTGTCACAAGATATGAAATATGCTCAGTTCTCAGATAAGTTTGTCCCCAGAGGTCGTTTACTTTGGGCTGTTGCCTTTTAAATGATAATTTGAGATTTGATTAATTAAAATCCCGCTTTGATTTAAATTTGTGGTGCGTACATGCATAAGCTAAAACACATTCACCTACCTTCACTCTGCATGACTACACACCACCCTGGTTTTGGCTCTGGTCCATCGCCCACGCGGGCACGCGTTCCACTTTCAAGGTTGGAATCATTTGGTGGGGCAAAACGCCCAGCTGAAAGCCTCGACCAACTCACTTTCTACTCACTTGTAAGATCCCCACTACCTAGGTTCCTTGTGCATTTTCACGAGTTCACGAAAATGACTACGGGAAAAATTTATTAGTCGCATCCCAGTGATGACGGTGATTGGCCTTCACTAATAACCACAAGATCAACAAAGGTCAAGGCGAAATATCGATCGAATGAAGCGTCTTGGTGGTTGAGTCATCATGGAGAATTGTAAATGTTCGAGTAACCAAATGTATGCTTAAAATGAGCATCTTTGGATTACTTAGTCTCCCTCGTCTGAGCCTAGCTGTCGCATCCTGTGGTCACCTCTACCCCTTATCCAGAAACGATGCTCCTTATCTCTTCTCTACTTCGATGCTCCACAACCGTCTATGTTATTCTTTTTCTTGCTATTTGGAGAAGCACATGGTCTTCCGATACCTCTTATCACTCTGCAAACGTTTCCAAATAATTTCAATCTTGCCTCGCTTCAACGGTAGCCATAAGTCGACCAAATTTCGACTATCTTTTAGCTTAAAGTTTTCACGGACTCAGCCATTAGCAGTAGGCACCTTTTTTTCAGGCAAAATATTCAGTCGGTGAAATCAGAATTGTTTCGGCTCTTCTAGGCTGCGTTCGAACACAGCTCCCCTCTCCCGCCCCCCACCATTGTGGCGTCCCGGTGATGAGACACAAAGCTCTGGAAAGAAATAGGGTGTTTATGCACGAAAGAGGAGGGCTGAATCACAGGCGTTGTCAAGGCTCCAAGTAATGAGATATTCCGCTGTTTGCTAGATATGCTTCATGTGATGGCGCGCTACAAGACGGAGTCGTGTCGTAAGCCACCGCGAATGTGCCGACAAGGATACTCGTGTCCCTACTACCACAACGGGAAGGACAAACGGCGAATGCCTGAGCGCTACTTCTACCGTAGCACACCGTGTCCTGCTGTACGACCCGCGGACGAGTGGCTGGACAGTGCACTTTGTGACGCCGGTGATGCGTGCACCTTCTGTCACACTCGTACGGAACAGCAGTTCCATCCCGAGGTGCGTTCTCTCTCCCCTTTCTCCCATGATTCTGCAACAGTTTCTGGAGCTGCGACCTCTCCGATCCCATCTTCTGGTTTTAAAGTAGTTCCTCGTGGAGAAATTCATTCATTTAACGCTTTTATTCTTTCCCCTTCTTCAAGCATTCTTCGTATTCGTAGCTTTACACAGCAACTATCACTAATTCGGGAGAGAAGTATTTTCATAACGCGAAACTTTCCTTCTGGCTAAGTACCGTTGTTAGTAATAGCCGCCGACGCTTCAATGATGTCAACTGACTCAAGCGCTGCTTTTATGGCAATAGTCCTGTCTCGAAGTACTTTTGCTTATCTTCTTCCCTTTCAATCCTTTGATCTCCATTCCCTCTGCAATTGGTTACCATGGCTTCAAGAGTGCTTCCTCGTTCCATGGCATTCCTTAGTCTTTACTCCGCCTATTCCTTCAACTCACTGGTTGTCATTATAGCTAAGGCAATTTGCCATTGAATTGTAGATACCTCTCCTTTCGAGAGTTGAGCTTTCATTCCTATGTACGTACTTTTATTTCATTATTTTCCATTTTTATGGTGTTCATTGCCAATAGCGATGGATTTTTCGACTTCGATGTCTTTTGGTTAAGAAACAGTCCTTATCGAACCATTCCCATCTTAAAATACGTTTGTCCCTTTCCTAATCCACGAACCTCAACCTACCCAGCTGGAGGTAGGTTCAGGAGAAGTCCTGGGACTCTAGCAATTCCATCTTAATAGGGTTCCTCTCTTCCCTTTTCTTCAGACTTGGGCTTTCATCATCGTAAGAGCTGTCATCGATGTAGGTGTTGGGATCCTTAAAATGCGCCCTGTCTCGAGGTATGTTCTTGGACTCATTTCGAGATACTTCCTCTCTTTCTGCTTCCTCAAACCGTTGACTTTCATGGATTTAGTGATGTCTTCCAGTCTAATGTCCGTACTTAGAGAAGCAGTTCCATTGTTAGATCCTTTTCTCCTCTTTCTCAGCAGTTCTTTGACCAATTAAATGGTGTCTTCTAATTTAGTAGTAGAGTTTGGAGGAGTGTTCCCATCTTTAGATTTCTTTTTCCTTCCTCTTTCCTCAACCCTCCTTCCATTGACTCAAGGATAATCCTCGGGTTCAGAATCATTCCCCAACGAAGCATTTTTATCTAAAAGTGGTTTTCTTCTTTCCTTTACACTTCTTTCATTTTTTTCCACTTATCAACTTCCTTCGTTTTTGATGATAGGTATTATCGACAGAGGGATGTCTTTGGTTCACAAGCAGGCCTTCAATTAGTACATCTTTTTCTCTACGCCCCTCTCTTCCTCCTTCTTTAATCCTTGGGTTACCAACAATTCGAGGTTTTTTATGGGTTTCGATGCAAAACTAAGGAGAATTTTGTCTGTTTTTCCCCTGATTTTTTATTCACTGTCTCCTGGTTCAACAACAACTCAGAAAACAATCATTCCATCTTAGCGTGCCCTTGTCCATCTGTTCTCAGTGGTTTTTGCTAATAGCCGCCATCAATTTAGGTTTATTCTTTCACTGTCCTTATTTCTTTTCGCACTCTCCACCCTCTATTCAAGATTAACTCCCCACTTGGCAGGTCTTAGGAATGCGCTGTCATTCTGAGCCACGACCATTTCATAACGCTATTTAATTTATTTAAACCACTGGATCATTTCCTCGTTATACTGTAAATTACAAGCCCTAAAAAGGCGTAACTATCTCGTTCAGCTATTTTGTCTGGAATGCAGAGCGAGCACAACGCAGCAGTGGACTATTGTCTTTCACCTCATGACCTTGAGCCAACCACTCAGGAAGAAGCTGTTTGTCCTTTTCTTTTTGTATCGAAGTCACAGCGGTAAACATGTCTGCCTCTGCCTACCTGCTTGGAGCATTCTAAGTGGAAATAGGAGTTGAGGTGCCAACCAATCAAAATTCACTTATATCTGCACCAATTGATTTTGCTGCAATTGTTACAGAAGAATCCTTTCCCCATTTGAAATATTTTGATTAAAAGCGGCGCTTTCTTAAGTGTTTGATTAGGCCTATTAAGCATGCTTTTTAAAAAGACCCTTTTACATACACTACTTATCTGCGTTGTTGATGGGGGCAGAGGAATACCTACCCTCGACAGCGCTAGAGACACTTCCCACAATATTGGAAACAAAGGTTTAAAATGTACGTCGAGATAAATAGACGTCCTTACCATGGAGCGTTGGGTCAAGCCTTTTATGGATGGAATTTCAAGCTATTCGATTTCTTTTATAGTGGAATCAATTGTACCCAAGTTTAAAATGTTTGTGGACTATCTTTGAAATTAAATGACGCCAACTCTCATAAACACTCACATCCGATCCAGTAGAAAGATGATAGGGTATACCCGCATGCTCGGGGCGACTTGGGAAGGTTAGACAGATTTACGAAGCCCAATCAGTAGCTGGTCGGTCGTAGCCTAACCTCTTGACATCTCTGAGTGAGTTTCCTACTTATTGAGCCTCATTTGAGTTTCCTGAACTTGTGTGGAGTCCTTCGGAATGATAGTTTACTGTTTCGAGGCCCAAAATGACTCATTTACTGCCACGATTTCAAAGAAAGATCAACTACCACAGCCCACATGTTTCACCTTTCTAGCTGACGTCGAGAAGTTCAACATGGTTGAATTGTTATTCCGGAGCTGTGTTTTTCCTACGTGATAGAAGCATATCCAATTGATACATCAGAACGCCTTACTTTAGTGGTGAGAAGAGAGGGATACGTGGGAGACTACCTTGCCCTATTGATTGGTATGGGCGGTTTGGGGCAATAACCCTAGATTTGGCTTAATTGTAGGTTTGGCGCTGGTTTTGTTTTGATATTCCAATAATGATATGCTGTTACACCTTTGAGAAAAACACAGTAAATACGGGCTTTGTTTGTAAACGAACTATTGGTCGTCTCGATAATATGGATTAAGGCTCAATCACTCATTGGTATACGTGGACTGCATTAATGGCCGATGTTGTATGCGGACCAATCAGAATTAGCGCCTGCGCGTTTGACGCAGCGAAGTCATTGGTGAACGAAGTTTCAAGCTCAAATTTGATGGTTTTACACTAATAATCGGTTATATTTGTTCTATTGGCTAAGACATTGGTAACAGTGGGGATTTATGTCCAAATAGGACTTAACCATCTGCTTAGTAAAATGGGAAAAACGACAACTGGCATATTTTATCAACCAAAAAGTTATTTCTCACTTTCTAAGTCCAAAGAACTTTTTTATAGCTAAAAGCGTCGTTTTTAAGCGTGTAGTAATCCCTGTTGATTCATATTTTACTGATTTCATGTGCAAATAAGTTACTCCCGACATTGACTGTTTTCATTATCACCGTGTCCTGAAATGCCAGCCACATCGAAGTGTTTGGCCTCTATCTTAAAAAGTGCAAATATCTTAGAAATTTTAGGCTGATCATGAGACTACAAGGTGGTGTCTTTTTCCTACAGCCATTTTCAATGCTTATATAGTACTTATAGTGACTTCAAACATTGATGCACCTATTGGAAAGGGAATAACTTTGTGATGGAGCATAGCTTATCAGAGTGGTTGAAGTTCTGTTATTAGCAGGTTTAAGCCTAGTTCTTCAGCTGGTTCCCTTCTAGTATCGGTAAAGCAGCCATCAAGCTGGTTTTGAAAGCGATGCAAACTTCCGTATGAGAATAATGCAAATGTGATGGAAGAGTGGATTTCGTGACTCCTTTCGACAATTTGGCTTGTTTGAGGCCATTTCTGATTGGAGTTTCAAATAATCCCTGACAACATCAAGGTAGTACGAGTAAAGTGTGTAATTGTTATTCTCGATGTCATAATGCTTTATTTATTGAGCTGGCCCAGTAATGCTCGTATCTTGTGGTACCTGCTTAAGGCGCATTGAACTTTAGTATGCCAAGAATCACTGCGATTATAATCGCTCCCATATCCTCGTTGTTTGCTGCTTTGAGGTGGTTTATTGTAAGTCATTTCTTGACATTCCGCCACATTAAAGTGTGTAATGTGTCTCACTTTGTAGCTCCTCCTGGAAACTGTGTCATTGTCGAAAGGTGTCATTTTAAGCGCTTTCAACTATTACCTCAGTCGAATTCCCGCATTTTGGCTGAATCACGCTCTTTGAAACAAATTAGGGAGAGATGTAGGTTTGTTGGAGGGGGGAGAGGACTACCTATACGGGGATTTCTTTTATTCATGGGCTCCCCCTGCATAAGTTAAGTCTATACACTTTGGAATCATCATATTGTGTTGTAAGAATTCCATCTAAGGCTACATGTGGTTGGAATTGGGGCAGGACTATTCTGCGGGCAGAGTGACTATCATTTTTGGCCACCACAGTATGCGATACCTCCTTTCGAGCATTTCATTGCTTTGGTTCAGAGCGATTCTCAAGATTTTAGCAGCTCAGTATAACCGTGTCAAACCACTGATGAGTTTACTTCACAGTGTCAAAAGTGCCCTTATAAAAGCGTTTGATCTCACTTGCTGTCAAATCTATTTAAAGAGAGATTAGTCGACTACAATACCGTGGTCCACAGCTGGAAATGGCTTCAGAGGTGATGCGCTGAAAAGTTGGGCCCGACATGGAGGCATAGAGATCGAATTTCAGTTGGCTAAAATGGATGTTTGGGGGAATATTCATTTACAGAACATACTGTTGTAGCACTCTGAGGTTTCCCTAAAGAAAAAGGAAGACAATACTCAGGCAGAATATGTAGTGTCGGTGTGCAGTAGGGCTTGGGACTATCAGCATGGTTCAGAGGCCACGCCACCTGGCGGAAGTACAGTGGCAGTGCCCCTAACTGTTAAACAAACAATTCAAGTTTTACACTCTCATTACATCAATGTTTCATTTCAAATTGGGTTCCGGAATTTTTTGAAAAATAGGGCTTTTTCAATTCTTTCAAAGTTCTTTTTTCTGCTTCAAGCACTTTTATTTCAAATAGACCGGTTTAATTTTAAAGCTTTCACTCGCAACCAATCCGGACTTGAGTCCTATCAGAAGCACGGCTAATCCATTCGAATCCCACATCAAGTAATTCACATTTGGATAATTGGTTTCATTTAGTTTAACTTTAAATGACCCGGTGAAATATTCCAAGGTGAGAAAGTCGGCATCACATTGACCACTAAATCGTTTCTTCAGTGGACTTGTCCATCCGAGTATGCAGCATTCCCGTTGGGAGCACCGCTTAGACAAAGCCGCCTGGACGGGTCAATGAGGTCCATTGTTAACCTCCTCCCCCTTCCCCCCTACGACCGCCGTCACGGGCACCCGTTTTGAAGCCCCTATAATCTACGGACTTTGCTTCATGTATCAAAGCGAATGTGTATGCGCATTTTCTTAACTTTTCCGCTATTTTTCTCCATGTTGAGTAGACTAGTGCTCGGATTAATCCCCCTAATTTGATTTGAGTTTACTTCGGTCTGAACAGCGCATCATGATTAAACTTATCAAATTTCAGAAAGATCCCACGCCCTCCACTTTCCTTCTGTACCTTGTATACATACCTATTGATGTTGAATGGAGTCTAAAGCTCAGACACTTTGCTTTAGTCCTACTTTCATTTCGCTCTGCTTCCAAAAAGCGTAGCAGCGTTGATTAAATCAAAACCAGCCTAGTAAACTTCTTGATTAACTGACTCTGATTTTACCTCTGCTACCCACATGAGGTCAACGTCTTTGCAACTACGCTGGAGTTCAGATTGCACCATCAATTACATCGCCTATCAAGGCAAGCACTACTTTCCCATTTTACCCAGGCAGTCATCGTCCCCTGTATTATCCCTGCGCGGCAAATAGGCATGATTCACTCCCCCAGCACGCGATCGGTTCTTTCAACGCTTGTCGCAAACTGTGTTGGCAGTGGGGTGGTGGGATGCAGTACACAAGTTGCTCTGGCCGCTTCCACATGCCACGATTAGGAGACAGCAGCGAGTTCTACTGCAAAGGCAGTTGCACAAAATGCGCGCTCTAAAGGTGGACGAATTAACTGCCGTTCACCTACCATCCCTTTCAGTGATGGACTTGGGCTAGCCGAGGTCATCAATTGTTGACTGGTGGAGGGGTATTGATAGGTGACAGTGTCAACTGGGGGAAATTGCGTATGTGAAATTGCATATAATCACAGGGGGCACCGGGTAGGGCTTGTTAGTCCATCCATTAACCATCATTCATGGACTAAAATCAACAGCTGAGGTGATTTGCCCCCTAATCGACGATAGTTTAATTTACGACACTTGTGAATTCGTTCAACACTGTGATCAGTTGTGGAATAGTGTCTTCAAATTGCAAAAATTTTGCACCGGTGGCTTTATGAGTACAAAAATAAGTAACTCTAATCAGTCAATAGGCTTTGTAGGTTTACATGGTGACCTTGAACTACGGATGACTAACCACAAGTCACGGTCACAGTTTTGGACTAGATTGGAAGTTGCTAGTTGGTTTTCCTCCGCTAGTTAACATAGGGGTGCAAGAAAGACTGCAAATGGTCGGTTTTTGAGGGCCCACATAATTGATTGTTGGATTGGCCAATCAAAATCGAAGAAGGCTCCCGACCTTGCTTTGAATTTTTGTAGACGTGTTGCAAAACGAAGAGCAGAAGGATATGAGTTACTAAAGCTTAAATAAACGCCCCTTGACCTTGATTTTAAGGTGGTAAATAGCAACGATGTTCAACGAAATAAGTGGGATTATTTGCATTAATCAAGGGCAATTTAATTATTCGAAGACGTTGATTGGCTTGCGAGTCTATTTGCAATCATCTAATTTTGTATTTTACTATTTGAAGTGAATAATTATAAGCAACGAAGGCTTCTATTTTGTCCATCGTCCGTAAATGGGAAAAGTTTGTACAGCATGCACTAGAGACAGTCACAAAGTTCACACCCAAGCCTTGATTGGTCGATGGGAATCAAGGCCAATCTAATTTGAGGTATTAATGAAGTCGGGGTTATTTTGGTGGGGAGAGATGCTTAAATTTGCTTGGCTCATTTTAGAAATTACGTTTGTATTCTGTTGAAGCTTTGAAGCTCAACCTGACTGCCATCATATGACATCTGGGAACTCAGACCGGAATTTTTAATCATAAGTTACAATGTCGGGTGAATGCGAGGTCCCTAATAGGGTATTTCGAAAATCCAATTCACTTAACATGATACAGCATGCCTAAATTACTGTTGCATGAATCCATCTCTATGACTAGCAAGGTATCTTGGAAACGAAGGTCACGTTGTTCAAATCTTGCACCTTGGTAATTCATTTCTGATACTTGTTAGTCAAAAAAGTAGAGTGAAACTAGCTATGGGCATCAAATGTCCGTGTTTGTAGCAGTATCCTTCCTGTGTCACTTCGGTTACCCATATTTTCATTGTTCACCCCTCACTCTATTCATTTATCCCATCTTTCATCAATTCATCCCTTCCGTCACCCTCCCACTTTTACATTTTTTGCTATATTTTATCATCCGTTTAAATAGCTGTCAACAATCATTCATTTATCTGCCCTCTCTTCTGAGTGTCCATCCATTTGCCCAACTAGTCAAGCATTCATTCACCCTGCTAAACTTTCACAAGGTGACATACCTTTCCTTCCGTCCACTTATTCAATTAACTATTCTTTCATTCACCCAGTTGGGCGTCCACCTCTGATTCAGTCTTCCGTTTTCTGTTCCTCCACCCACCTACTCATCTATCCAGCCAACTAACGGTTCTTGTATACTTCCCTTCACTTAACTACTCATTTATGCAATCCTCAATTCGTCTGTCCAAACGCCACCCCTGCCAAATATTTACTCATTTACCTGCTAATCTATTTATATTGTACATTGACCACTCCTATTCATTCGATCGGTCGTCTATTTGTGTATTCATCGATGAATGCGTGCATTTTTCTATTCCTGTCCCCACCCATCCCTTTACTCATCTGTCTGGTCTCCTTTCGTAATTCAGTCCATCTTCCCAATTATCCACCCGTTCAGTCATTTGTGCCTTCGTGATTCCACCTCCCCATCCATCTATTGACCCCTGATTTATTCATCTGACTACACATTTCCATAGTCATCTAATCTTGATTACAATCGCCCCATCCCACCGATAGATCTACAAGTCCACCAAGTGCAACGACGTCCTGAATTCAGGATACTGCCCCCGGGGTCCTTTCTGTGCCTTCGCGCACGCCGACTCTGAGATGACCCTGGGTCGCACCTTCCTCCAGTCGGCCCCAGCAGCGAGCTGCGGGCTGTCCGCTTCATCGCCACGGCAGCACGACGCCTCCCCTGTCTCCTCCTCCACCTCGGCCTCCTCCTCGGGCGTCTTTTCTCCGGGCATTCGGTCCTCCGTGCCCGCTCTCACATCGCTTCAGGCCTCGCACACTTACCCCACAGGTTGGCGGCTAACACTTTTTGACCTGATACGTATATGTGACAGCCTGATTTTCAATCTAGCTAAGCTCGGATATGGCACGCATATGTGACAGATTTAATGGTCAGTGAATCAGATATTGTCGCCTCCCATTTTGTTTAGTCTCACTTTCGTTCGTTTTCAAGAGACATTTTAGACGAGCCAACGATGTGGTGTTGTGGCGAAGGTCTACTTGTATTCTTGGTGGGATTTTATGGCACGAAATGCTTCTTTCAAATCGTAAATTCATCATTGAATATTACCGGGATTTGTGTTTTAATCTTCTTTTAATTTGATATTAAAACCTTAGAGGGAGGTTTTCGTATTAGATGAGACAGGGCGTTGCAGATTTTGCTTTAGAAGTTTGTAAAACATGCTGAATTTTATTTAGATAAACGAACCTTTGAAAAGCTATTTAAAAGAAAGCAGAGTAAACTGTTACCTTTATCATTAAAATTCCCTAATTTTCCCAAAAATTGTTTTAATCTCTGCGTGTTTACCTCTGCGATTTGATGGTATTCCTTTTGTACTAAAAGGTCAAATGCCAGCGATACCTTCTGCATAATTATTTTGGTTCTTGTTTAAAATAATTTCTTAAAATACACACTTAGTTATGCCACATCGCCACACTTTTCTAAATTCGAAAGAAGCTTGCATTCTAATTTACCGAGAAAACACGAAAGTGGCATGATCTTATCATGGAACTTTCGGGTAGGGTTTACTTCACTCTTTTTAACCCGTTTCAAGCAAAATAAGTGTATCTGAGGTTTGCGTGGCACGAAGTAACTGCTAAGTTCTTTCTCACTTAGCACGTTTGTTACCAGTGTCATGCGTGCAACACTCCACTTTTCCTCCAAAACCCACGTGTCACGAGTATGTAACATGTGTCATTTATTGGTTTATTACAACAGTGGTTGCGCAAGATCGTGTCTTGGCAACGGATTAATTAGCTTTGAACAATAAAACATTCCTGTTGCGAGATGAATGAGTACATTCCTGTGGTTTTGGTGAGCATTCAGGTTGTCCGAAACGTGGTGGCTATTGGTCGTGGCGGTGGTGGTCCCTTCGTCTTAGAGACTCGGGCAGCGCATGGTTTAAGTCTCTAGGTATACTTTAGTACTTTGAAATGCTGTTTTCGCTTTAAGAAATTCCACTTATTGATGTGATTATCTGTAGCCAAAACAAGTCTGTTTTGGTTAGCAAATCATACCTGTGCTAGATATGATCCAGTGTGGTTGGCAGGTGCGTTGTCACTTTTATTTATGGTCCCTCTTTTAATTTGGTACCTTTTTAAGCTACCCAAATTAACAAAAGATGTACCTAAAAGTGTTTTAAATACCTTCCACCTAAATGGGTGGAGTAAATAGATACGCTACTGTTGGACTATTAGCATGGCTAGTCCAAGTTTTCGATGAATGGTAGGGAGAGGGGGGGGTACGAGGGGGGAGCGCTTTTAGTTTGAAGCCACTCGTTGCTATCCCACGGGGGTTGATTGTTCTGCTCTAGGTTGCACCTACCAAACTTGTTTTTGATGGCGAGTGGTGTGGTGTAGCCTAGACAGGGTTGTCGACGTGGCAATGGCCAAAAACAAGGTTCTGACATGCAGCTGTGTATGCAGTCGGTCCCCCCGCCCCTACTGCAGTCTAAAAAGTCCCCGTTCCGTTGTTGTCTCACTCTGTGACAGAAGTGTGCATTTTTGTTGACTTACGTGCCTTTTATGGGAAAATCGTTGAGATGGTAAACATCTCACGTGACCTTGAGGCTCTTGATCGTTGACTTTACACTCATCAAGCAATTCCCACCGCCTTTCTTGGTTTTTTGTGTTGGTCCTTTGTAAAATTGGATTTCGGTATGTATTTTTTTCTAATTGGTTAACTAGAATTCTCGAATGACCTACTCAAATTCGAAAAAGCTTACTTTGTAGTAAGACCAATGGTGTGAGGACATGGCTTGGTCTAACTTGAGACATAAGTCCAGCTGAAGAGTTTAAACAGAAACTCAAACAGTATCTTGGAGGGGAAAAAATTGAATTCCCATCCATTAGATATCTTTGATGGTTATTCCCCTTGTGACAGCTGTGACTTTGCCATCATCTAATCAGGATTTGGGATCGACTACTTCAAGGCAGCCTATCTGGCCACACGCGTATTCATGTTTTCATTTGTCTGAGAACTTAATAAAAACGGAATTCACAATACGAACAATGGTGTAAGATTATATTCTGATTAAACCGCAAATTTCGTTAAGTCTGCCGTCCCAGACATCACTCTCTGTGGCGGGGTTGAGCAAAACTTCAAACCATAACTTCCACTCTGAGCTGAAAAAAGCCAGGTTAATTCAATAAAAAACAAGATGTAAGGGTTACTCACTGGGGATTAAGAGAGAGTACGATTTAGCACTTATTGTTAATCGCAAAACTTGAGCGGCCGGTCCATTTGTCTTTTTTGCCCTGGATTTGAATACGTGACAGGTCATTGAGTAAACACGACTTATGCAATGTGAGGGGTCGTCTAGGCAGATAATGCATGACAAAGGATTGTTATCAGCCCAGGCCTTTATGCTCTGGTATTAAAGTGCTGTGGTGTAAACATGGTGTTGAAAACGCATCTGTCTTGTGGGCTTTTAATTAGACCATCACTTTTTTGGTTTCGTTATTAACGCTTCCTTCTCCTGTTGGTTATTTTGGCTGGTAGGAATATGCTAATTAATCGGCTTAACTTCGCTCCACGGAAACAATCACACTTTACCCCTTAATACAAATCCCAACAGCAGCACATATACATGAATCCACACGTCACAAATATGTGACATAAATTTGTGCATTTTAAGCAGATTAGTTGCGTTGGAAAAATTAGGAGGGGGGGGGGGGGGTAAAGTGCGGAGTGATCTCGTTTTTAATGGCAGTTACATTTTATGCTTCATGAGCAGTAGCAACGTTGTAGAACCGTGAAACATCTGAGTGGCGGTGGGTGGTTCTCCTTTCAGCTCCTCCCTCATACTAAGTGCGTTTAATGCTAATTAGAGTTGTTTAAGGAGTCAGGATTCACATCTTGCTGCTATTTTGGTCTCCAAATTGATGTAATATAAGTGAATGTTTTATTGGGGAACATATTTTCACATTTTTATGGTAAAAGCGAATGACAGTCGTAAGGTGCTGAAAGCCTGATGCCTGACTTCCTTCATAAAAAAGCACAGATCTACTGGGCTTTCACTGAAGTTTATCACATTTTTGGCTCCGCTTCTTTGAACGGGGCGTAATTTATCCCCTCTGGTGGAGGGTTAGCTGGACCGATGGAGGAATGATGCCATGACATTGCGGTCAGTTCAAATAGTTGCCTATCTGGTGGTGGTCAATTGCATGTTGCACACAGTGATGCAGTCACGTGGCACTTGTCTCCGTGTAACTAGGGTAGGCACTGATGAGGATCTACAAAGTTGCCTACCTCCTCTTTTTTGTGCATTTTAGAAGGCCAAAATCGTGGTTTGGCTTGTCGTCAAAGGTTATTTGGATTTGTTTACTGTGAATAATAGATATGCATTTAGTCATAAATATGAGTATTGTTTATTTTGCTTAAACTTTAAGATCTTCCATGGAAGCGTCCGATCTAATCATCGGGTTGCTACAAGTTATAGGCAATTTCAGAATGAATTATTGGGTCACCTCTTTATTTGCGTAAGTTAGTAAGCCATAAAGCTTTGGCAGAAATTCTGCTTCTTAAGTTGTTTATCTAAATTGTCAACCAAATGGGAATCAAGCACAAATTATTTGATTTTGAACACGTAGACACTAGGCGAGAAGAAGTGTCCAATCTCCAGTGTCGGTGAGCTTATTTTCCTGCGATGATACGTGACGCTCTGTTGCGCAATAAGGGCAATAAATTATGGGTAGATTTTCCTCCAAAAAAATTGTTGGTCACTGTGCTGAAATGCTAACTTTTTTACAATATAGTGAAGAGAGGCTATCCTATTATTTATGATTATTTTTAACAGACTAACTGACCAAATTTAGGGCAAATGTAGGGGCATATTTGGAAGCTGTATTTGAGAATTTGTATCACCTTTACTTGGGAAAATAAGGGTGTGCAATTTTAGGAAATCAACTTTACGTTGTTGAATAACATTCGTTGTTTTACTGGTCGACCGAAATTTATCCACAGGACCTAGCGACGATTCCCGATCCCTAAGTGGTTTCGATCTTGAATATTTCTCTCAAGTTGAGTTTTGTGCAAATAATTAGGTTAATTATTTATTTTACGAAAAGTTTGCGCTTAAGCTTTTTTGATGAAATTGCAATTGCTCATGTAATTGTTACCGCCTACGTGGAAGCTTTTATTCAGGTATTCTGTCAGTTTTCGTCCTTTACATTAAAGTGTTATGCATTTTGAATTACAAAGACCGTTCTCGTGGCACTTTACAATGTCTTATTTGCAAAACTCTTGCAAACGATTTTAAAAACAAAACTCTTCAAATGTCAAGGTCACATTTGGCCTTATTCGACTCTGGACAGTTAGGCGCGTGTATTAATTGGCTGGAAATATGCATAGGATCCAAAAAACTGAGTTACTCAAAGGTGCACTCTTAAAAAAACGTCACACGTACATCCACGTTAAAATTCATTAGTAAATGTGACTTTCTCTCCAGCTCCGTGTGGTGCAAAAAGGAGGTATTTGAAGGATTATTTTAGTAGCTTCTCAGTCTCAACATTTTGCCAATATGGAAATAAAATGCGAATGTTTGAAAAGAAGTAAAAACTAAATTTGTCCCTGTAACTAACTACGCAAAAGTGTTTTTCTAATTAGCTGAATGCAATACTGACTCCTTTAAACCCAAGTTTGGACCGGTGGTAGCCCTAGAAACGAATACCTTTACCTTCTAAAATCTACTTCTTTTTGGAAAATTATCCTACCAAAGGTCGAAGAGCGATGGATGCATGACAGAAAACATAGGCTATAGCTATTTTTTGACCTCGAATGATAAATAGACGTCACATCTAAACTCAGTTTTATTTCGATATAAAACCTCAATTTGTCTTTTCAAATTGGACCTCTATTCTGGTATTTTTTATCCTCTATTTGTTTTAAAAGTAGCCCTATCGCGGTAAGTGCAGTCGGGTTGATGCCATTCACATCTACTTCATCAGTAAGTACGATTTTTTTGTGGTCGTAGACACAGTCTAGTTCTTTTCCTCCAGGGGTGTCTAGCGCATTGTGGCCGTGTGCTGTAGCTTCAACGACGACAGCATTCTCTCAATCATCTCTCGTTCACGCATGCACACCTGCCTTTTTTAGTCTCTTAAATGAACAGAACAACGTGCATATACCTGTCATGTGCGGACTGAACACTCAGAACTCGAGTGGGAATTGTTTACCTCCGCTTTTAGTGTACTACCCCTCGCGGTAAAAGATTAAAGAAACGGTCAAATTTGACGATCTCTGTATCTGACGTCGGCGTTGTGGTTTAATGCAGCATTAGATTTACTTCTCCAGAAATTATTGAACGTGCAAGCTTGAAAGTACGATGGGCGTGCAGGTCAAACTGAGGCCTTGGGGTTATCAAAGAGTTGATGTTGAGGCTGAAAACTTGTTTACGTGGGTTTCAGCTATATTTACGCACCCACTGCGGTGCCTGGCGCACCCCAGGAGAGTAGCTTTGACACAGGATTTGCCAGTGCGGCAAAAATATCGCAGTTTAGCCTGCACCGTTTGCAAGATTTCATATATCTATGGATTGCTGTGTTTACTGTTCTCTCAAGATGATTTGTTTTGTGCAATTTCGCAACAACCGAGCGGGGGGTGCGTACCCTGAATGTAACTTCAAAGGAATAACTTTCGGGGATGTGCGGTGAGAACCGCCACGCTTGGGGTCGTCACTGGCATACACGCGGTCTGTCGACTTTGCGCTTTTAAACTGTCTAAATGTCTTACTTGTGGGCGTCTCGTCAAAGTCCTCAAAAAGAATCGTGAGCTTTGTGCCCTAGGGCACAAGAAACTGAAAAAAAAACCGTTTTGATTAACAGTTTCTGGACTGACAACATTTGAGCTGAATATAACGAGTACAAATAGGATACTGGTCACTTACTAGTCCATGTACTATGGCCATGGCGTCAGGCCTTTTAATAGATTTGCGGTCCAGGATCTCGGTTTGTTTTGAACACACTTCATGGCTTCATTACATTACAGGATACATGTTGTGAGTCGAGAACCTGTCTCAATTGCAGAACATTTAGTTCGCACGTCCTTGAGTTGCCAATCTTTCCTTTTTATCACAAGAAGAAAGGAAGATGACAATTTTACCCTTTTTATCGTTCATCATATGTATCCTGGATTTTGGCCAGAAATGTATGCGAAAGTTCAATTTTATTTCCTTTCCTCAATTTTTTTGTCATTTACCTTATTCGCAACGAATACTTCCGTTAATGGAGGAGGATGTAGTTATTTATCATTTCCACCCTGCTCCATCATAAAAACCTCGAAGCTCTTTCCACTTGCTCTAAGGAGTGACAAGGAAATATGGCTGTCTTATCGCTATTAACTTTTTATGGGGGGAAAAACGTTGGCTTTTCTGTCTTCAACGAGCCTTCATCTACCGTTGTGCTTGTTGGTTGATTCAAAAATTGCGACTGGAGGGGTTGTTAGTAATTGATGATGGCCGACTTGGCGTTTACTCAACCAATTTTCCTTCGCAGCATGGCTCCACCTGTAGATGGGGGCGTTAACAACGCTTCCAGGATGTTCTTCACAATCCTGTCGTTGAATGCTTTTCCGAGCAAATTCCATAGTGTAATTTCCAAGGTCAATTAATGGGTAACAGAAGTCATTTAAGAAGACTTGGACTAGATGCGCGGTGAATTACTTCGTGCCATTTTCTGTGACATTTGCGATGTGGCATTTGATTGGCAAGTAACTTTTTTGGACTATCTTCCAACTAACGTGGTCTCATTCACTCCTTTCCTTTGAATTACATCACTACCTCTTGAGGTTTGAGTACGGATACTGTTGAATCGGAAACTAGAGACGATGACTTGACAGATCTAAAGCTGATAATATCTCTCTGATTCTATTGTTGATTCCTACTGTTGATGAATGCCCTTTTCCTGAAGAATTCTACCATTGTCTCGTAATTCCAAAAGATTTTTCAGCGTGGATTTTGTTTTTAACTTCACCATCTCTTGAATGTGCAACTTACATCAAATTGGATGATATTAGTGCGCTTCTCGTCTATAAATGTAAGGATCTGTCATAAGCAATTTATAAACCTTTGAATTTTGTATACTCCCCTGTGGACAGAAAGGATGCTGCTTCCGGTGAAGAGGGTTTTGCATCACATAGTGGGTGGAATTTCACTTACAATTTGGGTGTCAATTGAAGGCCTAAAAGTGGATGGGAGTGTAATACCTCTTTCGGTCTTTTTCTGGGGCCAAAATTCTTACAATTTTTTATTTGTTGTTTACCTGTTTATGAAGTGGACTCATCCTCGTCATCATCATCATCGTTTATCATAATCAACATTTGCGGCTGTAACCTTTGGTTGTCAGGCCAACACTTGAATTACAACGGGTTTTTTGAACTTGCTAATATTTATCATAATCGACTGATATACTCGTTCGCTTTTGATTATGGGTCTGACAATTCTTCTCGTCTCCCACCACTAATGCTGACTTCGTTCATCGCAGTGGAACTATTCGGACTAAGGTGGTATAGTTGGACGCTGACACCATCCAATTAGTGATTGTTTATCCTAGTAGTTTTGTCTTTGTCTCGCCTCTCTAAGAATATCTTTTTCAAGGCGCTACGCACCTCACGTCTTTCCTTTTCATTGCCTCCACTAGACACATTGCTGAAAGGTCCAACATCTGCGTTATTAACCTTTATCAGGTATGGGACATATTCTTATTGAATTTACTTTTCCATCGGTAGATAGAAACCCTCTTGAATGTAGGTAGAGAGTAAATGATGCAGCGAAATCTTTGAGAGATGCTATCTTTCGTGCAATTCCTTCATAATTTTGCTTTCCTATTGGTCACAGAAGACCATCATTGGGGTTTTATGGTATACCTCTTAGTTATCAAAGCATGCACGAATTGCAAATACGCCTTATTTCGTTTTTGTAGAAACGAAAAGACCCTTATTCACTCCCAGTCCTTTAATTTCGTCAGCATCCTGCCCGCTACCCACTCCGCGCCAATTATACGATCATTGACTTTGAATATATGGGTGTAAATACCGTATCAAACTGGATCACATGTTGGTAAGGGAGTTTCTTATTTTTTAAAAAAATGCGACAAGATCATTAATCGTTGCCAGGACGTGTCAGATGGTCGCCTAAGCTTCATTTTCTACTGGCAAGCAGTGGCAACACTTATTGATCAGTTGTGACAAGGGACTGTAATTAAGTAGTGTCGTGAAGTATCGAAGACAACTTAGCCATGGAAACGACAAGAGTTCATTAAGGTGTGATGCAATGGGTACCTCACATACAAGTCCTTTATATCAGGCCATGACCCCTTCAACCCTCCTATTTTTCCCATTATTTATTGAAAAAGACTGCTGTCAACAGTTGGTTGTCAAAAAATACCCTTTTTGTCAGCATTATCTAATTCACTTATCTGTACTGGGTGCAGTTGTAACGACCCCAGTCTCGCTCACTGATGTCGATCCCAGGTTCACTGTAACATGGGATTCAGTTCACAACAACCTGCCAACAGATCTCGAAGATGTTTTCATTCAGTGTTCTATTGGGTAAAACTTTTTTTACCAACTCCATCATGGTCTCGTCTCTCCGAAGTTTATCAATCTTTTTATATTTTTCGTGATTTTGCCTTCGAATTGTAGGGTGTTTGCTTTACTCCCCCCCTCTCCTTCTAGTTATAGATGCTCCAATGAGTAGTAGACTCCGGCCAGACTGCAATCTTTAGTGATTTCCCCTGTTTTCTCTGCTATTGCCTTCATTGGAGTGACATTTGCTCGGGAGTATATCTCCTTAAAATTCAAGTTTGGGTTTGGCCAAACGGTGTAGTTTCCCCACGACAAACAAACTAGGGCGTCAGTTGCTGCACTTTCGCATGGGCGTTCGTCTTTTTAAGCAAAGTTACATTATCCATGGTCTGATTACTTGCCACCCCTCCCTCCATCTCGCTCTCCCAAAACCCAATTTTGGTTATTTTAAACAATCTCTGACTCCTGATTGGTCGATGACAAGGTCACCACCAGCGCCTTGCTTCGGAAAATTTTAGTGCACTTTCTCCTGTACCTAAGGCTACCTCATATGACCTCCTTTTCCTGGAGAACAGCCAGACCTACTGCCTTAATCGTTTTCCTTGAGCAATACTCACTACCGGGAATGGTTTGTTGGTATACATTGACATTATTAAAGGTTCTGCCGTTTGAGGTTGAGTGGTGTATTTTCACGATAAAATTGACACGATTCATTGCCCATTGCCCAATGAGGGATTTTCGCCTAAGTTACGGAGATCAGAAGCTATGGGTTTTCGAACTCTCCGATTGAAAACATCAAAAGTATTTAGTAGATCTTGACTGTCCATTTGTCGATGACTCTTTTGCGGACACTCGAGTGGGCATTCCCGGAATTGGGATGCCTGAGGTACCCATAGAAATTAGGAAATTGAAAGCGTTTTAGCGTATCTATTAGCGCTGGTTGAATGAAATGATCGTTTCTAACAGACCACCCTAAATTACCTGAGAAATTCACTTCAAACTATATTGGCTCAGTCTCGTTTTTACTAAGGTATCACCTCAAGTCTTCGCTGATGTAACAAACCAAAGTACTCTGTATTGCCAGTATACAAAAAACCCAGAGGCTACTGTCGTGTAGTAATGTAGGGATGTAGGAATGGGAGTATTGCCATGGTTTCATGCCACCATTGGGGTTGTCGAAGGCTTAGTTGCGAGTGCACTTCCAAAATCACAATTCTACTATTTGCTTCGAAGATCTGCACTCATCAGCTCTGCTAGGAGGCTGGCATTTCATGCCTCCTTTATTGAGTCAATCCTCAATGAATGGTTTTTTCACTAGCCTACTCCTTTTCCACCTCTAGGCGGCCAAAAACTGCGGATGCGTCACCGCAGCGGCGGTGCAGCCGGGTCGGCAGATAGCGGGGGCTTCGGTGGGGCCACTTTTGATCTTCAGGATACCACACCACCACCGTCGGTAGCAGCTGTAGCGGGAGCACCTGCGCCACCAACGCAACCGTCAATGCTCCCACACTTCCCCCTCTTCTCACCTCTGATTGGAGCTTTCGGCCGTGGAGCATTCAATACGGCGACTAGAACCACGGCCACTGGTGGCACCGCCTCCACTAGCACCGCTTCCACAGCTGCAGGGACTGCACAACAACAAGGTTCGGCGGCTCGAAGAAAGGTGTCCATGGAAGCAAATAAGTTCCCGCGAATGAGATGTGAGCCAGTTATTCTGCGTTTACTATTTGGCGTTGCGTAGTGAGGATTAGTGGAGTGATCAAGCCCCGACAATTATATCGTCTCCACTGAAACGATTTTAGGCACTGTTCTGTCATTCAGAAGTGACTAGTCCGGTTTACATTACTAATGATTAGTCTCCGAATCATTCATGAAGTCGCGGTGAGACACGGAATTCTGGGATTACCTTTGTTATTGGGATATCCAGTAAGACTGAGAAGATAGTAGCAAAGGTGATATGAAGCAGAGTCCTACATCACTGGAGTGGGGGCTTATTCAGAAGGGATGGTGAAACCAACGTGGTCAAATATACAGTGAAATTAAATGGAAGTCTACTGTTTTCGATGTGGAATATTCAAGATAGTAAGTAAGCTCAATGACTGGTTTTGTGCGCATCGAGTGCAAATGGCAGTCTTATTCTAATCACTAGGAGCATGTCAGAATTGGAGCTATAATATAAGTGTTTGTTACTTTGTAATACAATGCAATGGCAAGTATAGAGCATGAAATTATTGTCGTTCCTCCGCGCAAACCTCAGTGAGCCAATTAGGGGGCTCGGTCAAGGTCAAGCGAAGTTATTTTGAAGTTTTGTCCCGTATTGATGTCTGCCTTAGTTATTTTGTTATTTTTCTCGAGTGGAACTTAAAAAATATATTTTTGTTGACCCTTTTGTTTAAATTGGGTCATTAACTATACAGTCACAAAAGTTATAGTTCTCAATTTTAATTAGCAGAAGTCCATTCAAAAAGTAATGCTTAAATATGGAAATCCATGTTTAAAATCAGCAGTTACACTGTCACTGAGGTAATAGAAATTCATTCTGATTTCATCCACTTCAACTGTCCACAAAAAGTTGCATTTTCTGTAATTCCTCCTCTCTCCCAAAGGGAAGCCACTCCTAATTTTTAAGTCCAGACTTACCTTTTCAAGAACACCAGACGTTACGCACTTTCGGAAAGGGTACATATTTCTACTTGATACTCTTCTTTCAAATAGAACATCGGACAAACTATAAATAACTTAGATATGGGAATAAACAAATGAGCATAATTATTCAAGATCAAACGTTTACGCTGACCACCTCTGAACAACAACAATAACAACGTCGACTCTGACGCATGATTCATTGAAACCGATTACAGCACTGATTGACACTATAATTGTTTGTATAGGTCGCTCCTGTTGGTAGTTTTTTACGAGCATCATTCGCCCCCTGTCAATAAAAGTTGACCATTGACGAGAGTCTAGAGTCGAGAGTCCGGACAGTAGACAGTGGAGAGTTAAGAATTAGGAATCGAACGCCATCTAAAACTGAGCCAAGCTTGGACTATTTTGGCTACAAAGGAGTCGCCTCACAGTCTGTGCCCTGGCCGATAGTGCGTTTATAGTAGTAACATCAAAGGCAAGGCATCAACACGATTTTGAATGTAGCAGTTTGAGTATTTATTCAGGCCTAAGTTAGCTGGTCGGGTGTTAGTGTTTAACCGAACACTTATTTATACCCCCCCCCCCCCCCGCCTTCCCATATGTTTGAATATGAGCGGATAAATTTAGGATTGAAGACTTTTGACCTTGCTTCAGTCTGGGGGAACAGCTTAATTGTAGAAAATTATTTCAGTGTTGATAAGAAGTAATGTGCTTTCACCCAATTCAAATCTTATCCATGACACGACGGCGGAAAGACAGTTTTATTTGCCATTCAATCAGTCCTCCAAGAAAGTAATCACACTAAAGTAGCTCACAGTAGCCCATTCGTCGGCACTTTATTCTTCCTTTTCTTCTCTTGATTAACTAATCCGCATAGGCAACCGTCCTCGAAGTAGTTGACTCACGTGAGTACTTGGGAGATCCTCTAAAATTTTCATCTAAGCTAGCTTTTCACTTCACTCTCCTTATTTGTCTCCAAGATTATAATCCACTGGGAACACAAAAAAGGGCGTTTTTGACCTTGTCTGCCCTTTTAATTCATACTCGAACCCGAAAGTAGTTCGGATAGTCTTGGTTATGCATTTGTTGACACCGGATTTGAGATTCCCCACCTCTGCAACTTTCATTTAACCACAAATTTTTGTTACTCATCTAATTATCATTTCAGTGGGAAACTCTCATCCTTTTTTTTTCACACTCAAGTGCTTTATTGTCATTAGAGTGCCAGGCCGATTGTTTCTGTCTCCTCAGTGGCTTTGGATAGTCACTTTTTTGGGGTCCCCTATCGAGATGCCTCGTATTTCTTTTCAGTAATTAATTATTCCTGCCACATCGAATGTGCCAACTTTTAATATAGGGCCTGTCTGTGACAGTTTTCGTGATTTTTAGATTTAAAATAAATTGTAGTAATTCCTCTCCGAAGGCTCAAATTTTCTCTTACCGAACCCAACGCAGAGCACAAGTTAAGTCTCCTTCTCCAACACCTCAAACAAAAACACCACACAAGGTGGTTGTGTACATTTCTTTTTCTTATTTTAAATAATATCATCACAAGTAAAACCTAACGTCAAATTCCGACTGATCTTTTCAAAAATGAGGACTTTTTCACGCGGTCATAAGGATGATCACGCAGTAGGGCTGTCACCCACATCTACTCTCAATCATTTTGTACTTACTACGCGCCATTGTTTCTTGTTCTGTTAGTCGACGCTTAAATTTCCTGGTAAAATAAATGCATTTCCGATTTTGGGAGTTGTTTTTTTGGATATCCAAACCATGGTGGGTATGACGTCGATTTAGTATATCGAATGAATGAACTTACTTGTTCGTTATCGGAGCAAAGTCATACTGTCTGTTTTTGTAGCCTGAAGTATCAATAAAACGATTCAAACAAAATTATGGATCATAGCATTTAATCACCCGGTAAAATGTGGCTTTTTTCTCCCGTTATTAACGCTAATGTTAAAATGTCATCTTCTGACCCTGAAGGCAGTTATTTGGTGAAAAATAAATGGCAACTTAAAATCAAGTCTCCTTCGGCTGACTGAAATTCTCTGTACATTCTTTTTCTCTTCTCTTCTTCCCCTTTTAGTGGAAAGCTGCGGATCCATGCTAGAGAGCTACGCACGAGGATTCACAACTCCATCATCCTCCTCCTCATCCCTGACCAATCAGCAACCGGGACAGCAGCAGCAACATCAACAACAACGCACCGGGTGTGTTCGTAGCCTTGGCAAGTGTTCACCACAACCGGTCACACCCTCCTCCTCGTCATCCATTTCCTCTAGCATGCCAACGACCTTCAAGAGCCTCCCACCTTGGTGGGCTGGTGCTGAAGTGAGCGAGCGTCAACAGCAACAACAGCAGCACCATTTGCACCACCCGGATAATGAGTATCTCAATTCTCTGGTCACTGAAGAGTTGCGAACTCAACTTACGGTCAGCACAAGTCCTGAGGAGTCGCATCAACAGCAACTTATCAAGGGTAAGGGGTAATAGAGTATTAATTTAACCTAGCTTCAGGAGCTACGATAAACTTCCACAATGCGAAGAAAAGCAGGCACTATTCAAGCGGGGTTTTAGAGTTCATTTTAACTCTTACGTAGGCAATCGGATGATAAGTTAACCTTGTTAAGTAAATTCGCCGCATCCTATGCTCTCCTTTGCTAAACGGTTCATTGGTTCAGGCGGATGGTGAATTTGTTTGTCTACTGATTAGGCGTAGTTACTCGGTCACACTCAATTATTTTTAAATTATAAGTTATGCTTGATCTAAAATGTATCTTTTGAATCTGGTTGGTTGGCCACGAGAGTACTTTTCAACTAACCTTTCTTAACACTCATCGACAATAATGGGCTAACCAATGAGCGTGTCTCACTAGTTAGCCATTTACGCTACAGTAATACTAAAATTTAAGAAACAGACAACTTTCTTCCATAGAATTTTTACCATAGAAAAGCAGATATTTGAAAATTTCCCCATCAAAATGCCTCAAGGGTAACTTACACAACTCACAAATTATCCTCACCCAATGTGAAGTCATTAAAGATCTCTACCCTTCAGTCAATCTCGAGGTAGTCCTCAGTACTTCATACACTTTGCAGTCTGAATCAGGCTTCGTTGCACGTACTGAAGTTGCGTCCTCATCAGCTATTAAATAGTCCTCACCTATAGGGTTTTGTAAGTAACGGCTTTTGATCCATTTGGCATCCACTTCATGATAGTGTGATAAATATTAGTGAATTTTTCCTAAAAGTGTAATCCTTGCTTATTTTTCGGTAGCCAAATGTAAAAAACAAATAAAGCAAAAGATGAGCACTATAAATAGTACGTTGCTTGTATCTATGGCAGTGCACAAATATCCTCTACTCGGAGCGTTACAAGTTCAAAGATTTCTTTGGAATTCGGAAAGGGAAAAAATTATTGCTTCACTGACTTTCTACCCTCCACGATGATTGACATTCATCGAGAGGTGCCAGCAGCTTCCACTTTGGCTTGAAAATGCGTAGTAAAGTTATTTCACTATCCACCACTAATCCACATGTTGCTATTGTTTTCTAGATGAAGGAAAAACTAATTTTTTGTTTCACAAAATTTCCAACATTTGGAATCTTCTCTTTGTTGAATTCCTTAAATACCATCTCATAGGCTGTGCATAACGCGTTTGATCAACCTCAATCCCTTAAATGATAGTGGAGCCGCTCTTGATGGAAAGGGAGGGAAGGAGTGAAATGAACATCGATGACATCTTTTAATGGCGTATCCTCCTACATAGTGGTGTTTCGTAGCGCCTGAGTCATCCAGGAAGATGTTTTAGGGCGTAACGGCCTGGCCGCAGATTAATCATCGAAGTATAGGAGGCCTGGAGCCTCACTTTGATAGGTGGCAACGAGCAGCAGGACGCTTTGACATCATGGCCGTAGTCGAACCAAGGCGAATAAAGATCTCGTGAAGTTGCATCAGAAAATGCAAATGAATACCCTTTTGTTGCATTTTTAACCAATAGCTTCACGTTCTTGATTCGTTAAAATGACTTTCTTCTGTTTTTAAAAGGAGAAGGTCAAGAAAATACGAAACGATGACGAAATGCAACTCTTGCTTTCGTTCATAGTAGCCTTTCACGTAATGCTATTTTAAAAAACTTTTTTTGCATTTTAGTTCACCACACTGGCAGAAAAGTTTCGCTTTTCTTACTTTAGAACAAATATCTGCATTGAAGTCCAAATCCCATTCTCTGTTTTACCAGCTACCTCCAGTATACTGTCTTAATCTATTACTTTGTGTTCTATTGGAAAAGGGTAAAAGTAACTGACCACTCCACTCATCCATTCCTCCACCAGACTTCACTCAATCGCCGTTGAGCTGTCTCCTACGCCAGGTGCAACTCTCAAACCAGCAGGCAGCGGCAGGAGCTGCTTCGACACTGACGGGGACCAAACGAGGTTCGGGGCTGTTTGACGACGATCCGCTGGGCGTGGTGACCGCCTCACCCCTTGCCAGTCCTCGTGGGGCCCCCGCCGTTCCTCCACCATCGCATCAGCCTTCCACCGCCGTTGCCGTTGCCGCTGCCACTACCGCTACCTCTGTCTCGGGCTGCTCCGCCTCCGCACCCGTCTGCATTCCATCTAATGGTGGCAATCGTGGAGACATCGAGGCCTTTGATTTTCCTTGCAGGTAGAACCAATTTTCCCTCCTTTGTTTTTATATTTGGAGAGTGGTTGGATGTGATTCAACAGCATTACTCCCACGGAAGGTATGGGTGATACTCTGTGTTAAGTGGGTCATTCGAGTGTCGTGACTCTTCAGAGAAGTTTGGATCATGCGCGTGATGTGGTAGCGTTAGGTGTGGGTGAGTCTACTGTGTGAATAGGTCGGAGTGTTAATCAGATCTCTTTTCCAGACAAATTCGACTTTTACTTTTTTCAATCAGTTAGTCAAGAATAGTAACTCACTATGGCACTCTCGGTGTACGTCGGAGAAATCGGTGGGCTCCAAAGAGTAGAGAGTTGAGCCAGTTTTTTTCAGTACTTCGTTTTAGTAATGCTGATATGCCTCAGATCATTTGCTGGTTCAACAGCTTTGGTGATAAACATTTCAAATGGTTGACCGAATAATTCAGTTGTTGATTCAGTCATACAACGAAGAAGCTATTTTGTAAATTGTTTGACTAGGCCTCAGTTCGTTCCGCCTCCGCATTTGCCTCTATTTACATCCATCGGTGTCAAATGTGTCGAAGCAAAAGCTTTTCTTTTTTCTCTGTGGGTTGATGTCTCCGGCTTGTCTTCTCCTGAGTAATAGCCCGATCCAATAGTGTCGGTGGAATGAAGTGTAATGGAGCCTAGTTAAGCCTGTCGCAACAGCATCGACCGTAGCCAAAATGACATTGAAAGCGTGTCAGACTACTGCCTAAGTTTCACTCGCGGACAGAAACGATTTCTCTTGCTTATTTTAGTCGTCAACTCGGTTTAGAGAAACTGGAAGTAGTCGAGCGTAGTGCTACGACGTTGGTCTTGGATGAGGCCAAGTTTGTCAATGAGTCAGGCAGTTAATTAACTTTCCTCCACAGGGAGATGCAATTTCCTGTACTTTTGGTCAGTCCTTGACCAGCAACCCCTTTCTACCAATGCGGATGTGCTTCAGGGTGTTTGGAGGGTCGCTGGGCGTAATCCAATAGTATTTGTCGTTCTGAAATCAAATTGTGGATGAGCCAGACGGTCTGATGTGAATTTCTCAGTTTGTAATCAGTTCTTGTCGATCGTCAACTTGCTCAAGTCGTGTCCCTATACCTCAGAGAAGTTGGAAGGAGATCTAGGCGATCTTAAATACTTAGGTCGAGGCCGCGGTTGTATAGCAAGTAAACTGCCCCTATCTGCAGTACACTCAACAATAGTAGTCGGTGTTAAAGCAGCGGCCTTTAATTTACCTCCAGGTTGCTGTCTTCCCCTTACTCGCTTCTAATTCTGACCAGTTCTTGATTATCAACTCGCTCTCCCCACTTTGATATGGATCGTCGAGGCTACGAGTAGTCAAGTGTGACTCAAAAGAGTTTGTTGTCGGGATGGCGACCTTTTAACTAAACCTAACGTCTGGCCATATTTATTCTGTAGGCCAAAGCAATTTCTCCCCAGTTCTTGTAACTCTTTCTTTATCAGTAACCCGCTCTGGTAATGTTTTCTTTGTTACAAGTTAAATCCTTCAGCCCTCTTCGTTTAACGCTGATATTTTTCAATCAAACATTTGTTTCGGCTTGACCATTCATTAAACAGCCCCTTCACTAGCTCCTGTAGAGGTTTCACTGCTACCAAGACTGCGAGTATTTGGTTGAGCAAAAATATTTCTATTTTTTAGCATTTTGATAAGTTTATCAGCCCTAGTTTTTGGTTTTCAAAGTCATTCCGCTTGTCATGCTAATGCGAAGTTGTTTAGTCAAATGCTTGTCATCGGCCGCCACGTAAACTGTCAGATTTTCACAGCTAAGTGATACACTGAGGCTCAAACGACAGTAAGGCATACCAGTGTATGGGAGAAGTTTTATTGGGTTGAATGTCATAGCACCGATGTTAATGGTGTACCCCCGAGGACTT